CTCTATCGATATCATACTCTGTTCAGATTCCCTTAGTCCTACCCCATCGTACTTCCCTGCAGCCCTGGCAGCCGGCCTACATCTCAGCACATCTGTGAACTCCCATGATTAGCGTGTGTCCAGGAAAAGTGGTGCCCTTGCTTAGTACTCTATCGATATCATACTCTGTTCAGATTCCCTTAGTCCTACCCCATCGTACTTCCCTGCAGCCCTGGCAATCGGCCTGCATCTCAGCACATCTGTGAACTCCCATGGTTAGCTTGTGTTCCGGAAAAGTGGTGCCCTTGCTTAGATGTACCCACTTAACAACTATTGTCATGCATCCCCTTCTAATGCCGATAATGCCGCAAGTAGACCTAGCTCTTTGGGTAGCTCTTTGAGTGCGTTTTGGAGAAATGAATACAAATCCAGAGAAGCAAGAGAATCTTCCCCCCGCTCATCGCGGTTCCCGCCATATCTTGACGGTCGGGAAAGGCGGAGGCATTCTTCATGAACTGCTTTTGGTGTAAAAAGATATGTTCCACTAGTTGATATATAATCATTACATTACTTGATATATAAATATTATATATAGTGCTTTATCACCGTGAACATGGTTAAAATGCAATGCAGACACTGCTTTCATTTCAGCCCAGCTCCCGGCCTGGCCACTTCCTCGCCAGAGGCAATATCCTGACAAATCTCCACCCTGCGAAAAGCGGAAAAGGGCTGAGGCTTCAATGGGAATTTTGGGCGGGTACCTAAATTTTTCTCTTGGATCCTCTCTCTAAAAGCACTACCAAGCACTGCCGTTCAGTAGGCCAGCTGCTCTTGGGCGGAGCTCGTTGCGCGCACCTGCCCCGATGAACTATGCAGTGCTAGTGAGTGTGACGAGAGAAATCTATCTAGTCTGGGAACCCTCGTGAGCTGCAATACAGCCAAAACACCTACTTTAAGATCTCTATGAAAAGGCAGCTCCATTCTATTCGCCTCTCCAAGAGCCTGGGGCAGGAGGAGTGCAGGCAGCGTGAGGTGCTTTGTATTGCACGCCGTTGCAACTAATGCTGTCACGGGCCTTCACATGCATGCACAATCTAAACCCCTTTAGCTGCTTGCAGTAAGATTGTAAACAACCTTGGAGGGCCAGGTAAGCGTGTAACAACCATCTGGAGTGTTGTCGTTTGTAGCAAAGACGGTTTCGGGGTGCTTACACGTGGGGTTGCCTTGCATCATTAGTTGCGGCAGGGCGTGTTGTAATCCGTGAGAGACCGTCACCATTCCGCATCAGCCCCAGGGACTTCCCGTTGTGCCCAGGGCGCCTCAGAACTGTCCTCGGCTAGGGTCGAAGGCAACAGCTGCAATGCCCACGCCCCCGCTTTTAATACATGCACAGGCACTGCAGACAACTTTAAAACTCTTGCTTGGCCCTCAGTAACCAACCTGCACGCAAGTGCCGGCTTCACACACTGTACTGCAAACCGTCCACAAGAGATTACGCTGGCTCTGCAGCATTACGTATAACACACGAATACCGATCAAACCCCTCGCTAAAAAGATAGCATATTCCTATCAGTAGATCGTAAATACATATCCACAGAGCATCTCGGCCCTCCGCAGAATTTGCTCTGTTGGCCAGGCAGCGGTTTCCAGCCGCCCATCTGTTGTTATTTGCTTCTCAACAACAGCCATGAAAACAGTGTTTTACTAACTATCAAGCAAAGGTAGAATATCCTCGACCCAAACCGTCGCACTGTCTACTACGAAAGTTCGTCCTCGCACGCAGACTGCTCAGCACCACGTTGCGCAGGAACAGCACAGCATCCACAGGTTATACAATTCGGGGTAGGTACAATAACTGTGTAACAATAAATAAACCAAACGAAGAAACTTGCTTCTGCATCAATTCAGGCTTCTGGCGCATTGCAGCAAGGCCCAGGTTTTGAGCCAGCGTCACCGATGTTGCCAACGCTCACATAGGCTCCTAGTAAAACGAAGGAAACCACTATTTTCATTGAAAGGTCAGGAGTGCTCCAGAAGTAAAGCTATGTAGTTTTAGATTTATGTATGGAGGCTTTTAATGAGTAGACAGGAATGCACCTACGAAGCCAGAGCCGAACCGGGCTCACCACAAAGCCCCACATACAGACGCCTGTGCCTTGTTTGCGCTTTGCCCAAGCAAGTCCGAATAAAGAATACGATCGCTTTTGTCCTAGCGCATTATTTCTAGTGTTATTATTCTGACCCTTTCCCAGTTCAAGACGGGCTTACTACATTACCCGGCACTGGACGAGCCCCGTAGAGTCCAGTGTGGGGTTCTCTGTTTCGTGGGAGGCTTGCGTATTACTTTGTTATTGATGCAGAAGTGGCTAGCGCTTGGCGTTTTATGCGTGACGTTACCTTCACTGCGCATACCTTGCGTCTCTTCTTTGCGTACGCACTCTCCCCCCACAACCTGTCCTTCGGCTAGTCTGTCTTTTCTCACCGCCGCCAAGGTTTGCTCCTCTGGAACACATCCGCCTGGCCTTCCCTGGGCCTACTCCTCTCATCCTTTTTCTCAGTTTGGGGGTTTCGGGGGCAAAACCTTGCTCCTTGTTCGCAAAAGCAGCAGAACCTATCGCCTGTGCGTCGGCGCCACGAGGCAGCGGGGCGGAGCGAAAATGGCAGCAACCCAGTCAAACCTTAGCAATGGAGTTCATTCAGTGGAACAGCTCCAGGAGATGGCGGATAAAGCACGGAAGAACGGTTGGCCCTCGGCAGACGTGCGGGAGTTGTACATTGCGTTCTTCGAACATGTGAAGCACAAGCGATACCCTTCCTCTCCGGTGGTGCCCCATGGGGACAACACCCTGCTCTTCATCAATGCTGGTAAGGGAAAAACATCTCTGTGTGCATCGGAAAGTGCACGGGCATTTGCTTACCGGGATCTGTGTGCATTCAACTGCATGCATGAACACGGACAGCCGCTGCTGTCCGTGAGCGCACTGTTTTCGTTGCCTCGGGATTGGCAATTAATGTATGCGTATGGAAACTCGCGATGCCTGCACGCTCTTCTGCATTTGTTGCTCTTGAGGATAAGCGGCTAGCAGGGGTTCTGTGTGTATCATAACGCGCCCCTTCGACAAATGTGTCGTGTGCGCGCCTGTTCCGACATCTCCGTTATGTTAGCGTGGGCTTGCATGTTTTCTGCCTCCACCGGCATGCTGCAGTTTCATGGAACATGGGCAGGCCAAGAAACCATATTTGTTTGCTTCTCTGGGTTTCCGTCCCCATGGGCTTGACGCAGGCATGAATCAATTCAAGCCAATCTTTTTGGGACAGGTCGACAAGAATTCCCCACTTGGTGAGACTTGCAGACTAGTTGCATATGCGGGAAGTCAGCTCCGAGGTTTTCTCTACGTGTAGCTGCATGTGTCACTGAGTTTCGCATTGTGTGCATGCCGTTTTGTTTTTTTGTTGTACGGACTGCTTTTCCTCTTCGCGGGACATGTTTGAATAGACTAAACTGTCAAGCCATGTTATTCTTGCAGCCGAGGCCGAGTAGCCGCGCATATGGTGGAGTGTATGCCAGCCTGCAGTAGAATACTTTCCTGTTGTGGTTTCAGGGAGATTGCGCCGTGTGGTGGATACTCAGAAGTGCATTAGGGCCGGAGGAAAGCACAACGACCTGGAAGACGTGGGCAAGGACGAGTACCACCACACATTCTTTGAGATGCTCGGCAACTGGAGCTTCGGCGATTATTTTAAGGAGGAGGCTATCGATTGGGCGTGGAAGCTCCTCACTGAGGTGTACAAACTTCCTCAGGACAGGTAAAATAGTCATGCTGGCTGTTGAACAGTTCTGTAAGGGAGCAATAAGCCCCTGGGCTGTTGGGCGGGAAGTCAAGCAACTGTGCATTCGCGTAAACAGGAAAGATGTTGGCGGATGGGTGGAGGACGGGGGGCATGTTTCACATTTCACTGACCCGTTGCGGGCCACTGTATTTTTGTGGGTATTTTTTATGGATACATCAATACGCTTTTGCACTGCTGTTTGACTCAGCCCTCGTGCCATCGAGTGACCTGCCCTTTGCCTGGCAGCGCCGTAAGTCTTGTGCCCAATTTTCGTTGCTAGCCCTCCCTCACTTTAATTTGCCGGTGAAGTTGTGCTATGCGCCGTAGACTTTACGCGACGTACTTTGGGGGGGACCCCAAATTCCCCAGCTGTCCTCCGGATTTGGAGGCGAAGAAGTTTTGGTTGAAGTATCTTCCGGAAGATCGGTGAGCTTTGCGTGTGATGAGCTGAGAGTTGGGCTGTGCAGGGCCCGATCTGCAGTAGACAGCGGATGCGCTTGCGCAGGACTTCCTATGTGTATGTTGTGCAAGCGTGCGTATGCGTATTTGCAGATGCCTGCTGTGCGTGTTGCATATGCTCGTAGTGTGCATCACTTCCAAGGCCTGTAACATGCCGTTTGACTTGTGCCAAACTTGTTAATTCTCAGCGTTCTGCCCTTCGGAGCAAAAGAAAACTTTTGGGAGATGGCGGACGTCGGCCCTTGTGGCCCCTGCACTGAAATTCACTACGACAGAATCGGTGCGCCAGCTGTTTCGGGACCTGGATTAAGGGATCCTGGATTCTAAACTAACCAGGAACAGAGGCCCTCGATTTTCTGTATGGGGAGTGTTGAGCCGATTGCGTTCCTGTCTGCGAATTTCAGGCGGCCGGAACGCTGCAAATCTGGTAAATATGGACGACCCTTCAGTGCTGGAGATATGGAATTTGGTGTTCATGCAGTTCAACAGGGAAAACGCGGAAACGCTGACTCCACTACCCGCCCCCTGCGTGGATACGGGTCCGTCAACTGCATGCGCTTCTAGGGCTTGGAGCTGATTGGCGTTTCCGTTTTCCTCTCTGCTCAATTCTTCAGTGTGGTAGTGTGCTTGGAGCGCGCAGGGATGGGGTTAGAGCGTCTTGTCTCGGTTCTGCAGAAGAAGAAGTCCAACTACGACACGGACCTCTTCCAGCCCATTTTCGAGCGCATCCATTCTTTCAACCCTACGCTTCCAAAGTACCAGGGGAAGGTGGGTGGGCTCTCTTTACTTTCCTTGTCCCTGCTGTACTCGCGTGGTGTAATTTCCTGGTAGTCTTTTGCCGTTTTGCATTCGTCATGCATCGCATTGTTTTTGCATTTGGCCAGTAAGCACTTCAGTTTTGGACAAATTCGTGTCGTAACCCCCAGCCTAGTGGTAGCTTTGTGGGGATGGCGTGAAGATTGTATGGGTTCGCATTGCATTTTCGCTTGCTGGGATTCTTGCACGAACGCCCCCTGCTCTTCTGCCTCCGTTTGGATGCTTGTGTGCGTGTGGAGGAGGCGACTAGCACGTCATTACACATGCGCAACTGCCGTTCCCAACTCGTGTCGGCGCTGCGAACCTACCGGGGGGGCAGGGTACATGCGCGAATCTTGGCATGCACTTGTGAAGTGTGCATGAGTGAGCCTCTGCTTCTTTCTGCAGGTTGGTGAGGCGGACAAGAACAAGATCGACACCGCCTACCGGGTCCTGGCCGACCATATCCGTTGTTTGACGGTGGCTATCACTGACGGAGCTGAGCCGTCCAACGAAGGAAGAGGCTATGTTCTTAGGAGAATCCTCAGACGGGCGATCAGGTTCTCCAAACAAACACTTCAGTTGCCTGGTTAGCCAGCATGGGGGCGCATGAAACTGCGGGTCGGATTCGTGCTCCACGTGCATTTGTCATTCAGCATGTATTGATTGTATCAAGTTTGCATGGCTCATGTGCGTATTTCGGTTCCTGCCCATCTAAGTGATTAGGGGAATCTCTTATCACTTGTATTAGAGTCTTTTTCCCTCCAGTCGGTGACGGACCGTTGCGTTTGGTTCTTTTGATGGCGCAGACGGGAGCTTCCCTCAGCTGGCCTCTTGCGTCTGCTCCTCCCTTGGCTCGGTGTTCCCTGAGTTGCTGAGGTCTCAGGATCGCGTCCAGTCAGTGCTGCTCAAAGAGGAGCAGCAGTTCACGAAAACCCTCGACAAGGCATGCCTCTACCCCCAAGCTAGGAGCGCTAAGTCGAGTATCTCGTGCAGACGTATCCGGTAGCGGGTGGCATCTAGTAGCCGTAGCACTGGGACGTAACTGTCCAACGCTTCCGGTTTGTGTCTCAGTCGCTTCCTCATTGGTACTATTGATGGTTTTTACTGCTGCCGCTGTATTTGACTTTTCGTTTGGTTGCGGCGTGTGGCACTTGCGCACCCAGTGGTGAGATGTTCTTTGTGTCCCGGCTGCTTGCATGTGAAGGGGGTGGATCGTTTCAAGAAGGTCGTGGCCTCTCTTGCCCCATGTGGCAAGTTTCCCGGCTCCGAGGCGTTTACACTTTACACTACGTATGGATTTCCTCTGGACCTTACGCAGCTCATGGCGGAGGAAGAGGGTCGAGAGGTTGACGTGGAGGAATTCAACAAGAAGTCAGTTTACCTAGAAAACGAAGATTAGAGCCGAAGGGCATGCCTAAATATGCGTAGAAGACTGAAATGCTTGCGATCATAATGTTCATGCTTGCACGTGGAGAGCTCATTCGATTTCCTGCTTTGCATCACGACGCATCCACAAACAAAGCTTCATGAGGGTGGCAGCAAGCTTTTCCGTGAAGTTGGCATTTGCCTCCGTGGGTGTATCGCGTGATGGCGGCTTTCCAGCGAATGTATGCCAAAGCAGATTTGTCTGCGTCGGTGGCAACTTTCATTCGTTCTATCAACAGCTTGCCAGCTGCTCCGGCATCGCAGCAGGCCCGGCTACGTCTTCGTTTTTCCTTACAGGTTCGAGGAGCATCGTGCTGCCTCGGAAAATGTGGCATTTAAAGCGAATGGGGGGGCTTCCGTTTGCCGCTTGCCTCCAGACCAGCACCACAAGCTTGAGCAGCAAGGACTTGCTCCAACTGATGACTCTTATAAGTACCACTGGAACATCGCCCAACGACCATACAACCCGGTGTGTGGCAGCGTAGCCGAACTTGCCTTTAGAGTTTTGTATGGCACTGCAGCGGCAAAAACACCAGAAATAGGGAGTAGTAAGCAGCATATGCGGAAGCAAAACACCGGATCTGCGCGTGGCACTGATGGCACGAGTTTTATGTCTGCTGTTTCGCGCGAAGATGTGCCTGTTTCCATACAAGGACCATATCCATCGGCCGATTCGCCCCATGCGTGGAAATATCTGGTGTCGTATGGCGGAAGTGCAAGCGTATGGTGTATGTACGTTGTGTACATCAGTTTTCGAATGCGTTATTCTTGCTGGCTGCGGTGGCATTGGCCTCAGGACTCGGAAGCAACGCCGCCGTGCACATGCAAGCTTCAAGCCATTTGGAATGGAACAAACTTCATTGTAAAGCTATCCTTACCGTTTCAGCGTACTTGTGGGCCCTTGCGTTTGTGAAGCATCCGACCCTGCCGCAGTAGAGTTGCAAAGGACAAGCAAGGTTTCAATAGCTGCCGTGTTTGGTGTGCTCTGCTCCCTTTTTTGCTCAGGATACAGTGTCTGAAGACGGAACTGTTATAGCCCTAGTGCTTGACAAGACTCCCTTTTACGCGGAGCAAGGCGGACAGCTTGGAGACGAGGGTTTCCTCGAATTCAATGGGCATCACTTCAGAGTCAGAGACACGCAGAAAAGTGGCTGCTACATACTGCACGTTGGAACTTTGTTCGGGGGAGCCTCACTCAAGGTAACTGTGAAAATATTAACCAGAGACGTGCGATTATTGGGAAGGAAGGGAGGGTCGTTCCTGGTTTAGACGTTAGCCCTTGCTTTCGCTCTAGAAAGTACTGGGAGTACAAATGCCTACCAGCGGTGCAGTGGCTGTTTAATTTTCGCAGGTGGGGGATTTGTTGACACCTCGAGTGAACTACGCGCGGCGCCTTGGTCTGGCCCAGCATCACACTGGCACTCACCTTTTGGCGGCGGCACTTCGCCAAGCATTGCTGGAGAAGGACAGCAGCAAGAAAGAGACAGGGAGGGGGACTGAGGACAAGGGAGTAGAAACAGAGGCACGGACTATTAAGCAAAAGGGGTCTCTTGTAGAAGAGAGAAGGCTGCGGTTTGACTTCGACTGGGACGCGCCACTAACAAATCAGCAGATTGAAGCGATTGAACTATACGTTCAGAGAGCGGTAACTCAAAACTCTCTTATCACCGACACTTTGTGACTCGAAGCACAGCGTCAGCGCTGGGGGCCCTTGTGGGAAACTAAGTCATAAGCACGATTAGCCTGACGAGCCTTCGCCAAAACCCAAATCTTCCGGCGTGCGGTTGTTTGTTCGCAATTACTTACTGAAACCCTTGACGTTTCCCTGGTAGTTCATACCTGGATACTCGGTTGGTAGGGGCTCTATTCCTCGCGAAGTGCTGTTGCTCTGTGCACCTGCACGCGTCCCTGTTTGGGATATTTTCGGTTGACTTTTCAGATTGCCTCCTCTTTGCCGGTAAACACGGCTGTGCTGCCGTTGAAAACTGCAATGGAGCTTCCCGCCTTGTGCGCGGTTTTCGGTGAGGTGTACCCTGATCCAGTTAGGGTCGTGAGCATTGGTCCCGACGCCAACGAACTCAAGGCAATACAAGACACACAAGGGGCCGAGAAAGTGAACGCCAGTGTCGAGCTCTGTGGAGGTACACACCTCAGCAACGCCTCTCAGCTGGAGGTAATGAGCACTCGGTTCTAGAAGGGGCTTCAGGGATGGGTTTTGTGGCATTGGTTCGCCTTCAACGCGTTACTGTCTGCGTGTGTTGACACCTGTTCTTCTGTTAACGAATAAAAACGTGCATACATTTTCCCCAGTGCGTGGGAGCATGCCCACATCTAGCAGAGATCAAATGCCTATATATATATATATATATATATATATATGCACACTTGTGTTGCGAAGCTTATCCTTTTCTGCGTTGCACATTATTCACATCATTACGTATCCCTGCACGCACGTACGCGCTGCCATAACTTTATTTCCACCTGGTAAATTTGGGTGCGTGGGACCTGCGTTCGGGAATTCTTTGGCTTGGCTCACCTCTTGATTTGCAGGACTTTGTCATCATTTCGGAGGAGAGCATTGCAAAGGGCATTAGGCGAATCGTTGCGGTGGCCGGCGAAGCCGCAATTAGTGCGCGCAGTCAACTTAGAGACGTCTGCGTACGTTGACGGCCTGCAGCTGACAGTTTGTTTTTCTCTGCTCTCAGACATTCTACATTATGTTCCACTGCGTTTTCTCTTTGGCATTGCAAGGGATCGCAGTGGAGATTTTGGTGTTTGGGATGATTGTGCAGTTGTCGCTGGCAAACCTGGAGTGCGCCTCCCCTACATTCCCGTTTTTCGAGAAGGAGGTGCAGCAGGCGAAATCTTTTGTAGAGAGCAACAAAACTATTCCTCTCTTGTGCAGGCGGCGCTTGTTGGCGGACCTCGAGCACAAGCAGAAGCTTGGGGTGAGACCGCCTGCGAGCTGCCAGCTTTCTGTTGGGGTGGCAGGAAGTCGATGCATATATCCAGATACTAAATGGGTGCTGTAGTTGCACGGTGGATGGCAGTCCTGCTCCTCCGTGGACAGAAGCAATTGATATCGTTAGCGAGGAACCCGGAGTAATTAACCGCTTCACTGTGGGAATTTCAAATGATTGTGGTTCCGGAAGTTGGTTGGGTCAATTTGTTGTCTAAAGTGTGGTGGTTCTTTTATGCATGATTGCTTGCGTAGCTGCCCACCTTATTTTTGTACTGCGTGGGTGGTCTGATGGCAGTTGGAACTGAGCAAGTTCCGTGCTAAGGAGCTGCTGCGAGTTGGGAAGGTCCTCGGGGAGGAGGCAGCGCATGCGGCTAAAGGCAAAAAGTTCGTTGTCTTGAACCTGACGCAACTCCAAGGGGACGGGAAGGCTTTGGATGAAGCTGCAAAGGTTAGCTTTGGCGCTACACTGCCGGTTTGCGTGCGTCTGCCTCTCCACAGATACCCATCGTCCGAACGGGCGTACATCTGAGTCACTACATGCGCAAGCATGTACTTGATAACTGTTTGAATTGTTTGACGCGCGTTTCCTAGTATGGACCTTGGTTCTCTGGAATTGTCTGTGGATTGTAGTGCCCTGGAGTCTCTTTCGTTTTTCAGGCTTTACAAGCTGCTGCTCCTACGCTGCCGTTTCTGTTGTTGACCGGGCTGGAGAGTCGCGGGACATCATGCATTTGCTTCAGCCCGAAGGGTGCCCAGTTAGAGTCCTCGAAGTGGCTGAACGAGGCCCTGAAGGTGTTAGGAGGCAAGGGAGGTGGCAAGGAGAGGAGTGTGGGGGCAGCCAAGGATGGAACTATCAACGGTTTAAAGCGGGCTGTCAGCGCTGCCGTGGCATTTGCTGAGGCAGCCTTGCAGTAGTTCCCGATTTACCAAGTTAAGGTCGACGTGCACCGAACACGCAGTTATGCTCCCGTGCGTACAAATATCCCACCAGGGATGTCGGCCGGATGTGTACAGAGAAATGCTCATAGAGAACGAAGAAGCTCGCGCCGAATCGGCAGATAAAGCAGGTGTTCTACCTCGCACCAGAGGCCGTTTTAAACTGCGCGCAGAACATGGATCAGTTGCTTCTGTATGCGTACATGCGGAGCGGACCACTGGCTCGCGTTCGCTTTCCAGAAGATATGCCCTTAACTGACGCTGCAGCGCAGCGCGAGACACTTTTCGTTTGCTCTGTCTTTGAAGGTCATTCAGCAAGACAGTCTCCACTGCCTAACCAGTAGTAAAGCATGTATGCATAAGCATATATATTCATGAATGCCATCAGCATTAAATGGAGACGTACACGAGCGAAGTGCACTGGAGTGCAGATCTACAGTTCGGCGTGCTTGTCGAGTTTGACTTAATCAAATAGACGCATCGTGGGCATCTGACGCCCACGCAAGTACGTGGCTTGCGTGGAAGAAACACATTCGCGACATGGTTAATAATATTAAACGCGTATCTTCCTGCGGGCGGCGCCTAGAGGCGGCAAGCCGCTAGACCGATGGCGCTCTAAAAAAAGACTGCTTAGAGGAAACAAACCTCGGAGTGTTTGGACTCGGGGGGCGCCGCTGAACGGCGCCGCAGACTGCAGTTACAGCCGCAGACAATGGCGCGAGGCCAGCCACTCTTGCATTTCTGTGACTGTGCAAGCTGCAGGTGCAAAACTACTACACCACAAACACCTGCAGGAGGTCCCTTTGACCGCAAAGCAAAAGTATCCCTGGAATGTACATACATATGCATTGGTGAATGTGGATTTGTAAAATGTTCACATAGATAATGAAGCATCTGAGCATGTACATAACGTCATTCTGGCATTTGCAGTGTTAATAGCCCCCTCACAGGCACCATTAATACAACACCCCAACAAATATGCCATGCGCATACGCCGTGTTCCTCGTTCATCATCCGTGCAAGCCACACATTGACACTCGGCGTCTACGCCTTAAAGCTCATCTCGACGTCCGACTCCCCCGGCAGTCTCTCCATGCAACATTTTTGCTTTTCCTCAGAGAGCGTCCCTGATCCCGAACTTCAGCTGTCAGTATGGAGCACCTCGGGCTGAGCGGGATGCCCCTCCAGACTGTCCCTCATCCCCTGCACCGGTAGCAAGAAAAACAGCCACAAACTACCGCCTGCATCTGCGACGCCCCTGTTGCCTCAAACACCTGTAAGAAATGTAAAGGACCACGTTATTTTTCGTTGCCTACCAACGCGATGCCACTAAATAAGCAGCCACATCAGAAACATCATCAGCGCAATCTCACCCCTTCGGACGGCCCCGTAGCCACCTTCAGCGCATCCGTAGGCGTCTCCGTAGCCTCCTCCGTAATAGCCTCCATAGCTCCCGTAGGCCCCGTAAGGATTTGGGGTGTACATGGGGGAATAAGCAGCAGCGGCCGCAGCGTGATAACCGTACGGTCCAGCTGCGCCCCCATAGTTGCCGTAGTTGTAGTAACCCTGGTCGTAGTAAGGAGAGGTAGCATAGCGGCCTCCCGGCAGCCTGCGAGCTCCCCTGTCCTGGGCTGGTTGAGCATCCACCTACAGAAGTCAGCGAAGATATGCACATGTACACAAAAACAATAAGGGATTGATTATACGCACGCGCCAACTCTCACTCCCATCGACCGTTTGAACGGTCAGTAAAACTAAGAGCAAAGCAGGCATTCGCACAGTGAACTACTAACAAAAACTGGGAGCGGTTCGGACGCCAGCAAGCACCTTGCTAAAAAAGCGCAAGTCTTAACGCACACGCATGGTGCTTGTACGTTTAGATATTTCATCCACTTGCACCTAGACAGTGTTGTTTAAATAAACGCACTCTATTGTCAGCGTCCAGTTGGTGAGGCGAAGCGCCAACTGCAATCGCGACTGAATCAACGGAGGTGAACTGCACGAAACCAAATCCTCGGCTCTTTCCTGAGCCATCTCGGATTATGGTCGTCTGCACGCACACCCCAACACACGTACTGCGTGGCCTGCACAGACCACTGAACCAGGTATGCAAGGCCTCCAATGAGCATTCTATTACACAGATAACCCCCGGAACGGCAATTATACGTGCATTCAAATGGCATACACTGCTACTCACAAAGGCCACCTAAAAAGCAGAATCAGAGCAGCAGAAACGGCGCACTACAAGCCAGAGAGATGCAGGACCCTACAGACACCATCTGCAGCGAAAAGCAGATGATCCTAGAGGCAAAGAGCAGACTGGAGAGAAAGAAAAACACGCGGATCAGGTCACGCTAAAGAACTTGGCGAAATTAAGAGATGCAACTGATGCAACAAGCGGGAAAGGCAGATGTTCCTGACTTTCTCAATCGACCCAAATTGCTCGAAGTGCTGCTGCAAAACTTCTGCAGGACAAAAGCAAAAGCAGCCAAATGCAAACACAAATGCAAACACCCCTCAACCCTTCTCAGCGTCGTTGTAAGGGATCAAAGTATTAAAAGAATTAGAATTTGCATGATGGGAAGGCTTTGTGATTCACGCCGCACCTTCCGTGACTGAAGAGGTAATGCCTCCAATGAATATTTTGTGCCTGTTCGCGCTGCTGCAGCTCAGACGCCTCTCAGGAAGCCTTTCCGTTTGCCTCTCTGGAGCCGGTTTGCTGCTTAACTCCCTGTTTCACAGATCACAAGTTCTAGAAGACTAAGTTTGTAAAGCCTCAGCCACCGGCAGCCCAAGTAGGAAAGGCGCGACGGATCCAAAAGGTGCATCCGTGGCCATTCTGCAGGAAATTAATAGCAGTAGGCTTGAAGCTAACTCCTCCCAATCGTGGCAAAATGTAAATTCCTGGCCTTATCTAGATCACCTGATGTCAACTTGTTTCTCCCTGATGATGTGCTGTGCGTTTAAGAAAGCTTCCGTGTTCGAAGACGGACGAACTGATATGAAAGCGTATCCTCTGTTCTTCCCTACACCAAGAAACCAATAGTAAAGTGCGGACACTTTGATCAAGGATTCAGGCAAGAAAACGCGCAAAGACAGAACGGATCCCTAAACGGTGGACCCTTACGGTCTTCTTACCTGTGGCGGCATCCATTTTAATGTCGATCTCGTCTACTGTGACAAACCCCGAAAGATACTCCAGGAGCTCCTCTCGGCTAACCTCCGGATGCAGGCCACCAACAAAGAAACTTCTGCGCGCATAAGCTCTGAACAACAGACTCCGAAACAGTGACCGACAAAAAGTTCTCCAGACCTACCCAATAGAATTGGCAGAGTGCGCCAACAACCAAGAAAGCTGTTGAGGTGGCTGGCCGATCCTCACAGTTGCTCTCCGTTGTCTTCTGAACTTCCATTCCTGTGTCTGTCATAATCCGCCTGTCTGCCTCCAGATTCTGGGTGCACAGACACTCCAGTCCCACTTTCGCCCCCCGCGCAGGAGGACGGAGCATTCCCAGGATCTGCTGGTGGATCCGCAGGCTCTGTTCCTCCGTCAGGAGTCCATACACTCGGCTCGGGTGCACCCTCAGAAGGGGCTCCCTGAGTACCTGCCTGGTGACCCTCATGCAGACTGCCGCCACCCCCAGCGCCCTGAGGGGAAGCGGATCCTTCATACATAGTCAAAAGAGCGAACCCTAAACCCGATTCTGGATCCTCTAGCCCCCTAGGGAGTTACACTGGCATGTGAAGCGAGCGCTAGACCCTCAACCCTTGACCTTAACGAGATTAGGTCTAGTTTTTCGTTTCCCAAGCAGCAAGATCCAAACCCTTCAAGAACCGCAGGGCCCGGGGAAGCCGAAGGAGGACTGAAACTCGGACACCTCTCAACTGTGCTGAGAAAAACGGTATAAATGGTACGGAAATATAAAAGAAGAGGGATATTGGCTAGGAATCCGTAGCAACGGCACCCCGCACCTCCCCGTTGTTGTGCTACGTGCACGCGTGGCGCGTATATGTCCCCCGCTAAACTCTTTGTCGTACGCTCTGAGGGACAAATTAAACAGAACAAAGATAGTGTCCTTGTCTCTTTAAGCCCTAACCCACACCCCCAGGGGCCCGTGGTTGTGCATGCCAGGCGCTGTTGTGTGGGTTTTGTGGCTGCGGCGGTGGCCGGTAGGTACATGTTCTCGCATGTGGTTTTCTTTCCAAAAAAAAACCTCTGGAAGTATCCAATGATTCATTTTACGTAATGGGCACACCGCGATAGGTGTACAACTTCACTTCCGGTTGCAGGTGTCCCAGCCCGCTCTGCTCAGTTCAAGCTAAAATGGCGAGGCAAAACAGCAGGGAAAGCATAATAAAAGGAGGTTGCTCTGTAGAGGAAACTTCAAGTATCGATGCAAAGCAACGCGTGTATTAGGGTTAATGAAGCTTCGAGCCTTCCAGAGCATGGTCTGCGCAACGAGGACCCCGATCTTACAAGGGGAACCTCATGAGCTGAAGTGAGTCACATATACCTCTCATAGCTCGTAGAAAGCATCTGGCATCACATCTTGCTTCCATCCACTTTAGTGCACTGCGGCGCAAGGGCCTGGAGCTTGGGGGAGTAGGAGATTGCCTGCAATGTGTTAACAACGCCTCGCACTGCAACTGTTGCTTGAAGGCTACCCCACGGGGTCCTGCAACAAAACCCACTTGTGATGAATGCTCTAATGCTGAGGGCAGTCTTGAGACTTTTATTTGGCCCTCACCTGCCGTACAGGCTAAGGGGAGGGCGTTTGTTCCCCATTTTGGGATGTTGCAACACCGTGTTTCTGACGCTTTGTCGCTTCGTCCTGCTGCGTCAATCGTTCCTGCGACGCATTCTTGAAGTTCCAATCCCAGGGGCGCAGTTTCTCCTGCAGCTTCTCGTGGTGCTACCGCTGCAGCTCCTTCCGTTGCTGTGGTTTCTGCTTTTTGTAAAGCTCTCGCTGGCTCCCCTGCTCGGCTGATGCTGTGGTTGCCGTTGCTGCTGCTACTGTCATTGCAGCTACTGCTGCTGGTGTTACTTCACGGCGCTGCGGCAACCGCGGCCGAGTACACAACACTGCGGTGCTCTTGCACTGCAACTGGAAAGAAGTTGCCTTTAATATATAAGCTATGAACCGGTGCGGGCTCTCGGCAGGTATTTTCACGAGCTCCTAGCCCTAAAATAGGAGAAAATAACAGTTCTCAGCGGCGGCACGAAGCTAGGCATAGGTGGAGAGAGGGGCAGAGATCTCCGTATGAATATACTTGGTGCTGAAGAGCACGAATGATAAAAGGCTCCCTCACCCACACAACTTAGCAAGGTTCCACGAAGGTTTGCACACAACCCCATTTCACGCCGCCCCGTGACCGCCCCGATCTGTGGTCGCCCCTGATACGTCAAGGAGGGAGCGGAAATCCTCGGGACTGCTTCTTGCAAGGGATCCTTAGGGACCTCCTTGTGTTGCTCTTGTGCACATAAGATGAATTGTTCCTGCTTTCTGTTACCTCTGAGTCTTTACACGTTTGTCCAGGATCTTACTCCCCTTGCTGCAATGACGTTGCGGCCTTTTCTTGGGAGAGTGAGAGGCAATTTCGATTATTCTTGCTAAAGAAAACACAGAGAAGTGATAGGGTGATATCGCATAACCGTGGGGGTGAATTTACACGGTAGGGCAGTGCATGGACCAGAGAGCACACAGAAGACGGTCCTAGCCAACAAATGGCGAAATAATCCTGATGCTCGCCTTCCTGAGCGTTTTGAAGAGCATGCGAACCCACTAAGTCCTCTTATTAGAATTAATGGAGACTGTCGAACATTGTTTTTCGGAGTTTCTTGCCGGAAGCTCCTGGGCTCTCTTCACGGATTCCAGTGCTGTTCGAAGCTCTATATGGATGCCCGCAACTGCTCTCATGCGTGTCGCTCTGCCAACAACTCATCCCAACGAGTCATTAGTATTTTCGCTGTAGACTAGGGTGTCCTGAGAAGACCGGAACGAAGCAGGCTCTGATGAATCATTGACCCATATCGCACAACGATGAAAATGTAGTTTCTTTCATCAATAGCGTTTATTGTACAGTTGCAGATACATACAACTGGTACTTTCCGTTTGACTGTCTGCAACCATGTGTTTCGCTGTGGTCATGTTATGGCGGAGATTTAGCCACGTCACGAATTTGCAGAAGAGCGCGCTAAAGCATTTCGGGTCCCTGTCAATACGAGCATTTTTCGGAAGGCTGTAGAGCGTGAAAACGTGAGCTACGGCTAAAGGGAACGCAGCTCTCCTGTAGCTGTGCTCCTTCAGGCGATGGAGTGCTCGCACTGGCTGAACCTGCCCATAACACAGCAAATGCTATCATTGCCTCTGACTGATTATTAGACTACTATAAATGCATTAGTTCATCCAGGTCCTTTTAGGAATCGGACGTTTCTACAGGACTCTTGGTTTGAAAGTGCGTTGACTTGTTTCTGCTGGAGCTCCGGGCAGTTCAGAGCCTATTGCTTGAGTGAAGGAAGAACCCCTAAAAGACACCAAATAGAGCTTTCCACTGTTCAACTTTATATGTTGCTCCTTCCCTGGAGTGTTAAATGATGTTCACGCATTTTGGCGAGAACTACTATGCGAAAGGAAGATTGCGCATATATCATGCGTAATTCAGGTGTTGTGTGGGAGCCACCAGAGTTCGGCATCTATGTAACCCGTCGTCTGTTTGTTGAACTTGGCAGCCACCGCAGCTTGTGTAAACGCTGTGAGTAGCAGGCATTTTTTGAGTGGCTTCTCTAGCTTTTGTCTTTCCGCTAGGGCATTGCCCAGCCCCTGTATCACTAACATCGGAAGAAGCACTTCCCGGGATCGGGGGTCGCTAGAACTGGAGTTGATATCAGGAATCTGATGTGGCTTCTTTCCCCTTTGGTCTCTCTCCAAAGGAATTGTTTGTCTATCGCCAATCTTTCCGTTCAATGAGAGGCGACCTGAGCCCAAAGCGACCAGATGCTGGGGGGTATTTTGGCACTCTTGCTTTGCCCTCCTAACCTTGTGGTGCTAAAGAGATCTCTTGGCTCTACCCGAAGACTGGATTGACCGGGCATAGACTCGAAAGGCTTAGTATACGATTTCCGTAGCGCAGCTGACCTCCCACCCAGCCTCCAGGGGTCCTGAGAGCTGCCGCCCAAGGGCCTGTGGCTAATGCGGGGAGATGGCCTGTCCTGAGTTGCTATTCACCTTGCTGCAACTCGTGCTGCAACGCAACCAGAAGTGGAAGCATACCCAAGCAAGTTCGCATTTATACTGTAGAGACGCGCGAGTATACATACTGCCAAACGCCCGCAGAGTTTCCATGCAACATGCTGCAAGTCAGCCGCAAATTCAAGCGCGCCCAAGCCCCGTCTTCATCTATGCAAAAACACCCTAGTGGATTGCTAGACATTTCTTGTCCCTCAGTGGCTAGCCGGTGTTCAAGTAGAAATACGTGTACCAGCTCCCACCGACAGCAGCTACACATGCTGTTCACCTCGAGTCAGCATTACTTTTCCTAGTACCGTAGGCTAGCAACTGCTGATGTATTCCAGCAGACTAATTTAACTTCACGTGAATTAACCCAAGAAGTTCTTCGGTCGAGACACTATGGCGTGCATCCACAGCATGCAGTGCAAACAAAACGAACGGGCGTCGCGGGAAAATGCGCATAAAGTGCATGTTGGACAGGGCTTCTCAACCAATTGTCAAGCCATACGAGAAGTAAAGTGCTCAAAAACAGCGTTTCTCTTTTTTTTTCTGGCACCTGACTTAGTCTTGTTCCCTTGATGGAATCCCACAGAGCAATGTGCATGCGCGGACAGGCTGGAGGAAGGGAAGCTCCTTCTCGAACGAGCTGCCCAAGCAAGTAGAAAATAGGTCCAAAAGCAAGAAATAGTTAACCACAGGGGCAAACGCATTTTATTGTTTGATCTTTAGCTCTCGGGGTCTTCAGCGGCCGGTCGGCAGCGCCACTGGAGCCTTGCCTTCGTTGCTATCATTTCAGTTTCCATCTATACCAGAGAGCAGATATCTTCAGATCTACTTACGAGTGAAGGCAGTGTGGTGGACCTCTAAAGCTACAGCAACAGCCGCAACAAGTCAAATCAGGGCACGCAATGCTTTCATGTTGATCCAAGTCCCCGGAGTCGGTCAACAGTGCCCGGCATGGCTTCCCCGTCGTTTGCCCATCTGGCGTGCACTGCAAATTCAAGTAGCAGAAATCCCCATTCCCCTGACTTCTTTGCTTCAATAATTGGAAGATGTAAGAATCTCCCCCCGAAAGAGCGGATTCAACGAAGCCGGCGGCTTCGTTTGCAACCTCACGAACAGTAGCAACATCGGCCCTCCCGTGCTAGCAAGCCTGCTAAGGGGAGACTCCTCATAGATCATACCAGTAATCGTTTTGCCAGCTTTTTGATATGTAGATTCTTAGTGGAAGAAGATCCGCGGTTCTGCAGGTGGGGTGTCTGGCGCACAGAGACGGGCGGCAGAGAACGCCGCCCTGCTGTCGTTCTCTGTCTTCGTACATCTTTGTTGCTCCATGTATCTCTTTACAAGTTAACTGTTCAGCAAACACAGTCTAGCGTACGCAGCGGCACTATGACAATACCGTTGCGGCTGACGCCATTCGGGTTAGAACAGCGCCGGGCTTACGTACAGCAGGACAGGCATGACGAGTACTACGAGCAGCTGCTTTCTCCCAGCCACAGCAGAAGTAGCAGGCAGGATTGTTGTTGCGTCAGCCTTCTGCTGGTGGGAGATCAAAATGCTGGCAAGAGCGCTTTGCTTTACTCCCTCGTAGCTTCGAAAGATCCTAGGTACACAGCATTCACCTCTCTCTTGCCCATCATTCAGGGAGAGTTTTCGAACAGAAGGGAAGTCCCATGCGGAACTGGTGGTGCTGCTGTTTTTTCTGCCGCGAATGGGGGAACAGGACCCACGGCGATGGAGTCCGGCGATCACTGTACAACGACCGGGACAACTGACGAAGACGAACGCAAACAACCGCATCACAGGTTGCCAGAACACACGGCAACAGACGAGGAGGACGCAGGTACTGCAGCATCAGTAGCAGCTGAAGCAGTAGAAGCTTTGGTGTGCAGGTCCCGGGATGAGCTCCCCTTCCTAGATTCGGACGTTGCGCGGTCTGCAGCTTTGCTATCTGCTGAAGACTTCACCTTCTTTTGCACTGAGTTCGGCCTTCAAACGCAGCAGCAACAGCATCAACAAGGAGACGGCATTTGGAGGAAGGTGAGCGACAGCCGCTACGTACTGCTTCACTTTCTTGAGTTTGGGGGTGACCATCTCGACCGCATGCATGCATTCTACAATCTAGATGGTTCCTGCAGAAGTAGGAGCAACAGTAACAGCAGCATGAGCAACAGCACCTGCTACGGAAAGTGCACCTTCAGTAGTAACTGCAGCAAATGTGACCAGATGGCTGCGGCGACCCTACTGCTCCTGGAACGCGATTTTGGAAACCAAAATGAAGCATTCAGGGCGCTTTATGAGTCGGAAACGCAAACACCTGCAAAAGAAGAGGGTGTAAGCGAACGGTTTGCGGATCAAGCACCGGCGGAGCGAGCAGCGCAAGCTGGGATACCTAGCGTTTCAGCAACTCGAGCAACCGTTCTCGCTCAGTCTCTCCGTCGCTCCTTCAAGCTGGCTGCCGAAGTCCCGTTGCTTGTTTACTTTGTAAACTGCAGCACAATGTTTATTCCTCCTGCAACACGCAATGTAGCGTCTGCTACTGCCGCTACGGCCGCAGTTGAGCTAAGTGCTCCAGCTTTCCTCAGGTTGTTACTCCGCCTTCACGCTTGCTGCTCGTTGCTTCAACCCATAGGAAACCGGAGACCCATTCACTTTGCCTGCTCGCGCCTCTCTTGTCGGTTGGCCACTTGTGCTGTGAAGGATGAAGTTACGGGCGATGAATCAAGTAAAGGCGCAGCAGCTAGTGCTACAGGCTGCTGCTGCATTGACTTCGACGAAAAAGAAAGTTTCCGCAGGGCTGTAGAGGCGTTGAAAGCATTTGCTTCGATGGCTAGTGTCACCAGTGCAGAAGGAGCAGGAGCTTCGGAAAAAGCAACAAGAGATGATGCTGCTGCCCCTGTGAGGGTGTCTCTCGACCAGCCGTTTGAGCAGCTCTACTGCCATTTCCTCTCGGGCACTAACATCAGCAGCGACAGACGGAACGCCAACAGTATAAGCTGGGCGCCATTTGAGGACTGCTGGGGTGTGTCTGCATGCGCCCGTCTGAAGGCAGAGGATGAGCAGCTGCAGCAGTGCGCCTCCGTGGTTTTCTTGAAGAGGCTGCTAAGTTTTGTTTGGGATGTTTGTTCACCTATTCCGTTGTGCAGCAGTTTAAGTTTTCGTGGTGTGTCAGCAATTACGGTTTTGGAACGAAACATTCATACACCACAGCAGCAAGAGCCGCCGCCGGCGGAGCAGCAGCATGAGGTATGGGGGCCCGCTTGGCAGTTGTGTGTTGTTTCGGTAATTGCTTTTCTGGTTCGCGTCCTTTCCCTTCTAAGTGACTCGGAGGAACTTGCTGAAGCAAGCATAAAGCCAGCGGAAGGGAGCAGGGCAGGAGCAATGGTACATCAGCATTCAATGGTAAATAGAAGGACGCTACCAGCCATGGATTCAGGGGATGAACGGGCCGGTATTTTTGACAGTAGAGGATTGAAAAGGGGAGAAGAAAAGCCAGCGCACCAGCACCAGCTGAAGTTTCTACAGCAACAGGATATAATGACAGGTGAAACAGGGCGGCAGCTCATTGCTCTGTTCTCTGCCTATCTCATTTTGCGCCGCCAGCAGGAGCAGCAAGCCCTCCCAAATGAAGTGTCTCTAGACCTGTGGCTATCTTGTACCGACTGGAGAGACTTCATTTCTGATTTCGATCCGGTGGAACAGCAGCTACAGCAGCAGCAGGAACGACAGTGCCACCACTATCAACGGAAGCAGATAACGCTGCCTTCCACGGGAGAGATCGTGATTGCTTCTCCGGTTGAGGGGGATTGTCTGCTTCTGCTTCCGGCAGCTGCTGCTGCTGGAGCATTCACCCCTCTGGCGACCGAACTCGTATCCTTAGGCTGTTGTCTTCCATGCTGTGCTGACGGGGGCCCTTGGGGGCCCGTCGTCGTGCAACTGCCTATCAATATGCAGCCCATGAAAAACCGTGTAACCCTGTTGCTACTCCCTGGAGTACTTGAAAAACCCTTAACGGCGGTTCAGCAGCAGCTACAGCAGTTTCATTATCCACACGTGCCACTGAAGGAACTGCTGAAAAGGGGATTAGACCCCTGTCTTGCGGCTGTACGTTTGCCGTTTCATCCTGCAGTGTGTGGGCTGCTCGACAGCATCCTCAGCAGCTGCGCGCGAGAGCCGCTCCCTGAAGATTTCTGGGTGGCAGGAGCTGCTGCGCTTGTTGCAGCTGTCACCGGATCGGCGAGTGCGTCTACGCTTTCTGGTGCAGAAGCGGCTGGCGCCGAATCTGGAAGGCGCTCGCAGCTTGCAGTAGCGCGCAGTATTGTCGAAGCAGCTGTGAGTGCTGCAGCACGAAATGTGCAGGAGCTGCTGCAGCAAAGATTGCAACAGGAAATATTGCATAAAGAGAGTAAGAGGAAAGAAGAACTAGGTGAGCAGGCCGTCATTAATTCTTTGCAGTTGCTGTTGCACCTTGCTGGGGATGTAGTCCTTCTGCAGCAAATGGCAGTTGCTGCCACATCAGGGAAGGGCACTCCGCAGCAGGAACGAGGGCAGCAGAAGCAGGGAAAGAGCATAACAAAGCAAGAATGGCAACACCATACTTCGGGCCCATACTGCTCGCAACATCAGTTATTTTGGACTGTAGACCTGCAGCCACCAGCAGCAGAAGCTGCAGAAGCATATGTAGCTGAAGTGGGAGACGATGTTCCAACGATTACAGAATGCTGTAGTGTACAGGCAGACAATTCAGAGATGTTCAATGGCGCGCTTCAGTCCCTAAATAGAGAGCTTGCCATGTTCGGTTTGGTACTGCTTCCAGCTCGGCAAATCAGACCCCGTTTGCGGCCCTTGTAGCCGTCTACGCAAAACCCCAATTGCTTTAGTTTTTCAGTTCGGAAGCGTGGAACTCGACAGGCATCCTCTCTGCCAAGCGTTCCCGGACAGCCCTTCGCAGACCGCTTGCGTCCTGAGCATCTGCATGCTGCTGCCCATAAATTGTTCATAGGCTTTTCCTGGACAGCTTTTGCTGGGTTGCTATTGTGAACTGGATATATGGTGCGTCCCTATTTGTAGAAGCTCGGAGATGGACACTGTTAGACAACTCGTGGCAGTCTGTACACAAATCATAGCTGCCTCCAGCCTGTGCGTATTATAGTGCTGGCTGTAAACTGGACTACCAGCCAGAGATAGGGAGAAAATTGCCTCTAGGGAACTTGGCTTTAGGGTGCATGACTTGATAGACGGGCTGGGCAGCCGCCGTCGGCACCGCAGGCGCGAGGACCGAAGCCTCCTAGCCTAGGGGAATGCGAGCAGGCAACAGAAGCCATGCTGTATTTCGTGGCAAGGATCGGGGCAGTATTTGCTTGAGGAGTAGGGAGACGTCTCTTCACCCGGAGTATCAACGCTAGTGGGACAGCTTCCCCCATTGCTGCAGGGTTTGTCTGAATTAGGTGAATGCTGTCCGTAGGTGTGTAGGAGGAAGCGATTTCAGATGCTTCTGGCAGCAAAGTATTGCCCCAGTTGTTCTGAATATTGAATGGCCATCTGCTCTGATGGTCATAGGGTACGCCAGAGGAATCATATTACAGCGCCCAGGAAACTTGGTGATGGAGATTACGGGGGATCACCTTCAAATGCTCCACTACCTCAGTGGATTGCACAGTGACCCGGCGAAGTGTCTACTCACCAATAATATATTAGGAGATACCCACAGCCAAGCGGCTGTAACTTCCCCGCGGCCTGCAAACCTTTGGCGAATGCCGTGCAGAAATCGCTGAAGGATAATCGGACTTCACTAAAAACCATTCCAAAGCACGCGAAACGAACCACTTCACAAGGTTTGCTTTGCAGCTTATCCCTTCCCCAGTCGCCAAACTGTGGCTTCCCCATTCTCTGTGGCAGTAACCGGGCTCCTACCGAAAATGAAATGCTTCGGAGGACGTGACAGCGTCATGGCGCACAAAATCTTCTGTGGTGGAGGACCAACATGAATGCAAGAACGTCGATGTCCAGAGTATTCTCGTCTCCATCCGTGCTATTTGAGGTAGTGCATTTTACCGTGCTTCTTTGCGTTGCCCAAATGTGCCATCGTACAGAAGCAGCTGCTACGGCAGGTTGTGTATTATATCATCAACTGTCCAATTATCCTGCGTATATCCTATTGTCGTGCATTTTCCGGCGAACATGATATTTTTCTCAGTAAAATGACGAATTATTTGGCATACCTCTGACGAGCAGCGGGATCTTGTGCCCTCACTTTTCATGCTGCATAGAGCGCAACGAAACCTGAGCCGGAGAGCATGAAGACCGTTAGACCTTGTTACAATTTTCCCAATTAGTCCAACTCAGAATAAGCGCACTATAGGGCATTTGCAGGAGCAGGAGACCTCGTCCTCACAATAGCTTGTGAGTTTATTGTGAGTGCTTGTGATTGCAGTCCTTGTTGTTAGTACCGAATTCAGGAGAAGACGCGACTGCCATGCTTAGGCCTAACTAAAAATGCTATGAATACGTCCGTTTGGGGCTTTAGACCCCTGTCTTCCTGTTCAGGGGGCATGCGCGAAGAGGCTGAATAAGCAAGGTACTCTTCTACGGTGTTTTTCCATGGAGGTTTTATTAATGGACCGTGCAGATGTGTATCTGTATAGCGATCTTTAAGGAGGGAGTCACTTTGAGCGTCAATCCGCCCATTAGTACACCATGAAATTTTCCAAACTTCAGGTTTCTCGACGGTAATGGTTTTCCAGCCTGTGCAGTGCCTGGTGTGCCTGGTGCAATAGCATGTATCTGGCTGCTCCCTGCTGTCGCAGGGAGCAGCCAGATACATGCTATTGGCGCTCACGATGGGCCTGAGAGCAGGTCGAGAACTCTCGGGGAAAAACGTATGCCTCACCTTTCCAGACTCCAACAGCAGCGGCAAGGGCATCAAAGGACGCAATATGTCTGTAAATCGAGGTATACACTTCTGACGAGCATCCGCACAAGTCGCACATTTCTGCACCAAGATGTCTTACTAAGATGAATACTGTACAGGCCCGCACAGCTTGGTCATTCTCCATTCGTTAGTGGCAATCAGAAGAAGAGGGACTACAAAAGTATGGCAGAAAATAGGCACGACGGCTTGCGTTTCGCTGGAAGGGATGCATAGTGTAAGGGAAAAGGGTACTTCGGGAGGATGACGAAGCCGCACTGCAGTTAAACGGTGTTCAAGAAAGAAACTGCCTTCTGTATGCACACGTAGCATTAACGAAACTAGATTGTCATACATTCAATTCTGCATCGTCAAAGTTACCACTATGCTCCCAGTCAAACCCTGAACTACCGGGTAACTTCTTGCTTTTCTATGCATGTGCGGTCTGCTGCCGATAACCACACCCAGCTGCAATATTCTCTCCATCTTCTCTGCGGATATGAGGAAATTTTAGTAGGCCGAATCTGCTCGTTGGGTTGGTCAACGCCTGTTAATGCGTCTTGGCTCGGGGTGTTCTTGGTGCCAACTACTGTCCCAGGTCTCCTCTGCGAGACCTACTGCTTTACGAACTGAAAGCCAGCCAAAATAAACCTTCTTGTGCATCGAATGTTAAAAAACAAAAGGGAATTTTTTGTGTTTCTCTTCTCTACGAAATACCAAGTCCTCGCCCCACCATGGTGCCCAATGGCCCAGCTGGCAACCGCCCAGCACAGGACGAGGAACTGCCTGAACTCAACGAATGTAGTGGGCCTAAGCGGGTTGTATTGTCTTTGTCTAATATAACATCTCGGCTTTCTACAGCAACAGGGGGGTGGGGCAAGTGGTTGCTTAACTCTGCGTCAGACTTCGTCTCGGAAATCGGCGTAGAATCCGTAGGGCCCGAAACGCTCAGCCACCGGCGAGAGAACGTCAGCACTGGGAGTTTCACCCAACAGAGCTTTATCTCTCTGATCCGCTTTGCGTTGCATGCCATTGTGCATGCTGCAGCTGCTGCTTTTCGCTCAGGAAGGCGCGAAGAATGACTTCAAGGACATCTGTCAAGTGATTGCCCCTGACTCGACACCTTGGATTCCACGACACAGACGAAACTGTCCCACAAATAAATCATCTGGGCAGCTTAGCCCTGATGGTGCCAACCGTAGGAGCACTGACGAAGACAGCAACCACAGCATCGGCGCCACCAGTGTCTGCAGCAGCATTGTCAGCAACAGCTCTTGCGAGGAGCAGAGCAGCGGCAGCATTTGCTGCGAGCCGTCTCCTTTAGATGATACTCTTACTTGTGTAGGCGGAACCGAGGCCTCTGTTCCATCATGCCGTCACTCAGCTTGCACACAAAACGAAACTTCGAGGGATGGCGCACCAGAAAAACCGAATGTGTGCATCTTGGGGGAAAACGCAGAGACGGGTGTGCCTACTTGGAGGTGAGGAGAGAATATAAGTAGGACACAGTCGTTTTTTTATTCTGTCTTAACTAGCTATTTCGTGCATGTTTGAAATACGTTCCCGTGAAGCAGATCCACCGTTGGCGGTGTTTTGTCGTTTGTCTGCGGACCTTTAGGGCGGATCCAGCAATCAGGCGTCTCTTTGGGCTATTATCGATGTCCGATGCTTCCTTCATTCCAGGTCCGGTGACCTCGTTACCCAGTTGCTGTGCGAACGGCACGCAGCAACAGGACCAGCAGCCTGCACCTGACGACTACACCCCTGAGGCATATGCACCGGAAAATGAACCACGCGACGAAGACGCGGGGCCGTCTGAGGTCGAAATAAAGGAATATATGAAGGGTGATCATGCCATCGCAGCTCGGCAGAGATCCGGTAACACTGGCTGCATCTGGCCGTTAATGTCCGACTCTAGGCCATGTACCCTCCGCAGTTAACCACCACACTTTTATTCCTGGTCCACCAAATGTTTTTGCCGTTGTAATCTATTGCTTTGCTTACAGCTGCAGACCGTACATATCCGTCCAGTTTAGATAGCAGCAAGCTATGCGACTGCAGCTCGAGATTTCTTCGGTTACACTCCATGTGCGACTCCGCAAGGGCGTTGTTGCAGACTCAGTGTATGTAATGCATGTTTGGTTACGCACTCCTGCAGTGCCCGAGGAAGTAACGGAGGAACTGTTTTGGCGGCGGTTCCCCGCCCGTGTCAGCCACATGGTGGAACGGGAAGAACAAGTCTATGTACACGCCAGCAAAATAAGCGCAACGGCGAAGGCCGTATATGACTCAGAAGGCGAGGAGGTGAGAAACTATAGAATTTTCCTTCCCACACAGACCTCCCTCAGCGCTTTGCGGATCCGCAGATCGTTGAGCCTTACCCGTTGAGCTTGTTCTTTGCACTTCCACCATTTGAAAGCTCGTTTTCATCCGCCATTGTGCTGTCGAAGCATGCATCGACGCTTCCGGAATGAACGAATGCATGGACATATTTTGTCCCGCGCATGATGACAAATTTGCTAAGGTCGTAGATGATACGCAGAGGCATGTGCACGATTTCACATCCACATAGGTGTATGTAGTGAATGGACTGAAGCACATCTTCGTCCCTCTACAATCACTGCTACATCGTTCATCATTCCCGGCCATTTCTGTTCAGGACATATCGTGGGAAGATCTTGGCAACGATAACGAGGGGCTTTCGTCAGAGGCTGCAGCCTCTTGATGGAAAGCACTGGAAATGCTTTACATCACGCACGTTATGAGCGATGCTGCGTTGCTTGGGAAAAGCGCAGAAGCCGGCACCCGGAAACAGAGATGCCTGTAAAGGCCCCGCTGAGGGCGGGCGTGCTTGAACTCGCCGGGGTCGAAGTCGTACAGCATTGAAAGGGCTTTTCACCAAAACAGTTTTCCTGGCTCTCCCCCCCGAGAACACACCAAACCTCCGTCCTCGCACAGTACCGCCGGCTCTGAAAAGCCTTAGACCCTTGTTGCAGAGTTGCATCACTGGTCTATCACAGCTAACTTGCTGTAAATTCAGTCTCCTCTTGCGCTTTTAGCTGTCAACTGTCTGCGCACCAAAGCTACCCTAATTACGCAGAGAACGCTCGTCCTAAAGATACAAGGGATCTACCAAAGTACACAAACGCATATTCGTGCCCACATGGGCGCCACGAAATACACACCGGAGTGCCGGCGCATACCACGCATGAGTATAGCTTAAGGTAAAATCGTTCGATCGATGCTACGACCCTGGTGTGCCGGTAGCGGAAGGTATGCACTGTATATAGGGGCCATCATTACCTTCCCTTCTTTGTCTTGTGCTTGAAGCCGCATGTTCATGCAGTAGCCGCCAACTGGGCTTCTGGCAGCCGGCCGTTTATCACACAGCAAACACTCTGCTGTGGAGACTGCAACTGCTGCAACCCCAGAAGATTTAGTGCCACCGCTGCAGCTCAGGCCGCGAGCAATACTGGTGCAGCTGATAACGCGCGCTGCCGCAACGATACAACAGCACTCGGTGTCCCGTTAGCCGCACGTGCCTTTCCTGCCTCAGCAAACTGTCCTGCAGGAACAACATAAAGGAGAGGGAGATTGCTGGCCTGCACTTTCCTCGACTTACATGGGTATAGGATTCATCTCATGAATTTTTATCCGCTTGCAAACTTAGTGGACTGTAACAGAAAATGGACATGCACTGGCATAACACGCCGGAACATTCGGACCTGTACTTATATACTGGTGACGGCGATCTGAGAGCTGCCAGGTATCTTGCGCACACGTAGGAAAACGTACCGCGCCTCAAGAAGGCTTCACTTTACATGCCCCTCCTTCCCCTTCCACCTCTGAAGCCCCCACGGCCTCTTCCCCTTAGGTTCCGCCCCCTGCCGGAGAAGGGCGGGCCCCCGCCGGCACGTCCGCCATTCCCCTCCGATGTGTCCTGCTCACCTCCCGGCATGTGCACCAACTCGTACTCCTGTTCACTCATATCTCTGGCGGTGCAAACTGAAAAATTGAAGTCCTTAAAGTCATCGTCCCGGGCATCGCTACAATCAAACCACATCACCAGTAGAACCCACATCAAGGAAGGGAAAAAGAGGAACAAAAATATAAGCACCACAGAGCATCAGGCCACATCAGCTGCAGCCTTCCTGGCTAGAATTTGAGCATCGGCAACGACAATGGAATAGCAGCAAAGGGAAAGTCAGCGCCAGGTCTTACGAAATCTTTCCCCATTTGTCGACTGCAAGTCTCATGTGTCCTTCTTCCATTTTGATCTTTGCATTTCTGATTAAGAGGGGTGTATTTACCACGTCGGGTAGCTCAAGCTGACCACCTTCCAAGCTGAGATGGAGACAAGCGCTCGACAGCAGCAAAACAAGGCTCATTATGTCCACGAATACCAATCCACCAGTAAATTCGCGCCGCATAACCCTGCCCTACTGCAAAAGGCTACTGTCAGCAACTTTCGCCGCACATAAGCAAGCAGATGGGCAGGAACAGAGCTGATCATGACTTTTCAGACGAACCCACTGTTGCCGCTGCTGCATCAGCAGCAGTTATTACTGCCCCAACTATAGCTGCACACGCTCACTTTAGAGTTATCATTGCTTCATCGTCACCTACAACCATGGTGGCTCGCTTGATGGCCTGACCCCTGGGAAGAATGACGTCGGGCTGCGTGTTAAGGCAGAGACCACAAAAAAGTTCACAAACATCAAGAGCGTTATTATTGAGCCCCGGGTGCCCATCACGGCAACCCAACGCCAAACTCCACGCAGTTGGCGTCGACCGATACACCTGATCTACCGTATTTTGCCGCTTCTAGCCCGTCCCCTCCAATTCCCTTCTCAAAATAAACAAAAAGGGCTACAGTATCCCCTAGGCGGCAAAGTAGTTAAACGGATTAGCCATAGCTCGGCAGCGCAAGGAATTCGGAGGGTGCATCCCTTCTGCTTTTCCCCCCGCCTTTTCCTCCTTACTGCGGGTTTGATTGGCTCGACAACTTTTACACGCAAATTGACGCCCGTGCAGAGGGGAGTCAGCGAAGATATCTTCCGGAATTGAGCGGCCGCCTTCTTGGGGGGCGCTCCGAGGGTGGTATTGCCGACACCATCACCCCTACGGGCCAGGCCCTTGCCATCGTGTGCTGCGTCTCTCGGAGGTTTCGGAAGCTTCAGCTGGTGGTAACGAAACTCGACGAGAAGGAAGAGAGCAAAAACTGCGCGAGGATCCAATGTTGCACGCCATGTATCGCCCATGTACACCACACTGCAGCGTAAGCAAGCGGCAGCATCCGCAGAAACCCTGCAGCGGTGTCCTAAATCACTTCGCCTCGCGTGACGCGCTTGTGAAGTGGCACAGAACAATGCGGTATAGAAGAGAGCGCTAAACAGCAAGGAGGATCAATCCCTGATGCCTACCTCAGGCCCAAAAGGCCTTCTCCTTCCTCAGCCGAACCAATGGTCGCTGGGGGAAACCCGTGTCTCTTGGTCCTTCCCACATCATGTTCTAGCTGCTGCAGCACTTCCGGTGCAACGACACTTCGGTACAACAGAAGCCGCGACCTAATGGCTGGAGGCGCCTCCGACGTTGCTGAGGAAGGGCAGCAAGTAACCCCCGAGTCGCCAACTGCCCTTCCATGCGCAGCCGTCAACAGATCCACACAGTCGTCTCTGTGCAGGGAGAGGTTTAGATGCTTCTCCAGCAGAGCGGCACATGGGCCCTCCAGCTTCCCCTGTTGGTCAAAGCTGCCCTCTACCAAAGCCAAGCTCTCACACAGACCACTCGAGAGATCCGGCCTCTTGCAGAATACACAAAGCTCCAAATTCGTTACCGAGTTACGCAACACTATCAGGACAGCTGACTGCATCGGCCGCAGTACCACTGGCCCATTCACAGAGGTACCTTGGCTGGTTGTCGCCTCCACGTCTGCAAACGCAAACAACCACCGACATCCCGTCTACCCAGCATGCACTTGCAAACCCATATCTGCACAAACTTCTTCTGTAGCTGCTCCCACCGCTGCTGTTGTTACGCCTGAATATGATGGCCTTACTGATGCATATCTCCGGCTTCAGCTGCTGAATGGTGATGCGGTCTACCTTCAATCTACCCTCGTGGCAGAGGTTAGAGGCCCATTCCCCGAAAAGGGGGTTTGTGCGGACCTGTTCCCAAGCATCTGCGGGCAGGCCCCTGCAAGATAACAGGACAGTCCAATGACACGCAAAGTAGAGAAGGCAAGTGGAGTTACTGAATATTAGACGAGAGTAACGGCCTGCACTATGCTACTGGCCATAACTCGTATTTGACAGGGACTTGACCAGTATAGAGCCACCTCTCCGAGACTGGAGACGCATACCAACAGAATGTACAGAGAGAAAAGCAGCGTGCAGCTGGGACGGCTCCTGGTTCATCCTTACTGTGCCTGCTGTACACTTACTTTGCCTGGTGTACATACACCGGGATGTTCCTGTACGGACCACTGTTCAGGGTGAACGAAGGAGACCCAGTGTCAACGGAATCAACAGTGAAAGACTCCGCCATCTGCAGCAAATGCATGCGAACACGAATGGGGTGTGCAGAGGGCACATGCCAAGTTTGCCCCGCTCAAATGACACTGACCTATTGAATAACCTAATAGAGGTAATACCCTGGTACCCTCACACTCTACAACGGAAGACACGCGCAACTGAGTAACGCGAAAATCCAGTTGGCGCGGCGGCCTCCAGTCGACCGCCCCCCTGGCCGCCGAAGGGGTGGGGAGATAACGAAAGACATAAAGAGACGCACATACACTCCAGGATGCTGTACAAATAGATATGTTTTCAAACATTCGAAAAATAGCGAAGGAGACGGAGCCACAGCAAAACAGGGAGCACCCTTGCTATGGTGTACGAGGGCGTGGTCCCAGCAGGGCAGACTTCTTACCCTCGCTGCTCTGTTGGAAGCGAGTGAAAGGCCGAGAATAAATATTTACTATGTACCGGGAGATTACGATTTAAAATTTCCCCACAGCACAGCAACAGCTCCTCCTGCACGGTGTTGCCGCTGCAGTGGCGGGGCAGCTGTTGACCGCCAGGCCCTGCAGTCGCGCCTCTCCCTTTCGCCCCGTAGAGCTTCCGTCCTTCTTCCGCCAAATTACCCCATACAATTACGTATAAAAACAGCAATGCAAGTGCAAATAGATTTTAATAACATCACACACAGTCGACTTTTAAGCGCACACACCGGTTGCTAAGTGTTGCTGTCCTCCCATAATAGCACACCCCGCGGTGTGGTGCGATTTGTACCTCCACAATGATGAACAAAATTCGCCAAGAAATGCATTTTTGTATATGCGCCTCCCTTTTTTGAATTTGGGGTTCTTGCTACGCAGCTTCGACAGTCAATCAACGGCCCCAGAAAACGACATGGCCGTCTACTGTATAGCATACTCTGCCTAGAGTTGCATGCATATTTCTGCTTGCGTGCAGGTTGGCTAGTGAAGGCCAAGTAAATTTTTAGCGATTGTCAACAGTGCTAGCGTACGTAGCAGGTGGAGCTTGGGCAGGCTTCCACGTGGGTTTGCCTTGCAACACGAGTTGGGGCAAATTGCGCTGCAACCCATGGGAGGCCAGCTGCTGTCTACCTCCAGTGTTCAGATCCGCTGCCTAATACTGCTTATTTCGCTTCGGCAAAACGATCATTGCCATGCCTATCCATATGATAGAGAATATGCTAGTACCAACTAGCAACTGTAACTCTTTTAGCAGTGCTTTTTGGCGAGAAACGTAGTCATGCAAAGCAGAGCAAGGAATTCCTCTATTTCCTCCACGTCGGGCCGCCCATCATATATGAACGATCGGCAGGAACGGAGGTACTCTTCATGGACTGTTTTCGGCTTAAAGACATTTTTAGTCGGATGGGCTTCAGACATCTGTTTTTCGTTTCCTCTGTGAACACTCACGCGTGTGTCCAGGCCCTCAGTCTCCTCCAGTTGCGCCCTCTCGCAGTCACATTGCTACCGACTTGTAGAGAGAGTTGGAGAATAGTTCGGTGATTCCCAGAACCGTTCTAGAACAGCACAATTGGCGGCGGGATGAGATCTTTCCGCTGGAGGCAAGCGGGCAGTGTAGGCCAGCCTTTTTTTTCCCGAAAACGAACAGCAAAGAGCCCTATTCAACGTACGGAGAGCTTTTCCGGCTGCTCTGGACCACTGCAGACAGCGCGCAAACCCATTAAAACCAAGTCGCCTTGGTTGAAAATGCCTCCTGAATGTCGTCTGCTGGTGATGCTTGGCTGGCGCTTTTGGGTTTTTCTCATATGTTCCAGCGTTGCTCCAAGCAGTGCATCTAACTCGGAAGTTACAAACGTATGAGAGGGCTTCAAGTTACCAACTCTGACGCCGTCTCAGAAAACAAACTTTTGCTGTGATGCGTGGATGCCGGAGGACAACGCTTGAAGAGTACACGGTTGCTTTGTGAACCCATTCCACACAAGGGAGGAAGTCAAGTTACTTCAAGAATTATTCTGTGTATACAGTCGCAAACACCGCACCGGCGCGCTGTTTGTGCCTTCCTTTTGACCTTCCTCAAAGTGATTCGCACCGCTCGCGTTATGGTTGGAACTGGGCCGCTTCATAAATTCGCGCCAGGAGGGGCTAACAAACTTCGGGTCGCCGTCAGTACTGGTGCTATTCGGAAAACATTGGAGCCTCTAAGAATGATTATTGAAGAAGTGGGCCACTCCCTCTGCTGTAATCGAACTTGAACAGGGGATGAAGTGGGCATACTTTCTAGGTCTACCGACGACGACGTGAATCCCATCGCAGTCTCTGATCGATGCCAAGCCAACTATAAAATCCATTGAAGTATCCGTTCAGGTTCACCAGAGGACCGGCAGACCCTGCAAGAACCTGAATATAGAACTAATTCCTGCCATTCTGGAGAAGTGGGGAGAGGTTCCTTCGCTGACCGGCGCGCTCTGTGCCTCCGGAAGTACCTAGCCACTCGTTCCCCTGTTGTGCTTACCCCCTCATGGCCCGCTATAGCGTGATTATGCTTTCTGCACAAAGAAAATCTTCAAAATAAATCTGGACCGTTTAATCAGCAGAGTCCGTTTGCAAGCCCTTACTCCGCGAGCTGGCAAAGCCACAGGACATCTTCGCTCTCGTAGCATTGGAAACTCTTTGTGAGGTGCACCAGGGACTGTTGATCAGGTTGAGTTGTGGGGGACCTCCAAATAAGTAATGCCAGCATTTTTACTCCTTACCAGACCGCACGGAGCTCCTTTTTATGTACCAGGTACATGGGTTTCTCCGAGAGACAGGATGAGTGGAATGAGTTGATTTGGAGCCTTTCCAAATCTCTGACATGCTGAGAGTGCATCAATCCAACTTCTGTATCACTGGAATTGGTTGCGAGGGATAGAAACTTGTCGAAATCAGGGAGCGCGACTACTGAGGGCAATGGTAGGTGGCCGATGGCGCTTGTAACGGCCGCATTCTCTTTCCGCCCCCAAAAGTTGTTTGTTGCTTGTCAGTATGTATGTAAGAGGAGCGGCAATGCGAAGAAATTGAGGGGCGAAACCACGTTAGTACGACACGCGAAGAAGGACCTTCAACATCAGAGCCAGTGTACCGGTGTATATTGGCCACGTCCGAATGCCGTCTATCATTGCCGCATCTTGTTCAACTTCCGCAGCAGAGAGAGGAAGCCTTAAGAAGGTAATTCCTTGCATGAAAACGAAGGCGTATGTGCTCTATTGAACCAATGCTTCGCGCGTAACTTGAGTACTACGCTGCATGCGCCGTATATAACGACAGCCCGCAATCTTATCCCGTACCGTTGTGAGCTGCCATCGAACTAAAGAAATTACGGTAGGAGTTGGTAAAAAGCAGCCGACATTCCCTCCAGCTCCCAGACGTTCTGTGCGCAGCAGCCCAAGGGCCTAGGGCTGTGGGAGAGGAGCAATGGCATGCGTTGGAGCGCATCTCCTTGCAACTAATGCTGAAAGGTGCCTTCGCATGCAACGCAGTTCGGTGCAACGAATGCTGCAGAGAAACATCCTACTCAGGCACAACCAAGCCACCTATGCTGTATTCAAAGTTGGCCTGTGTACCGTTTTTGACTGCAAGGCAGCCTGATGTACAATCACGACCAAAGTCCCTTTGCTATCAGCACTAACACCGTAAACAATTTCTGAACGCTTACTTGGCCCTTCGTAGGAGGCCTGTACGGAAGAAGCATTATGCATCAACTTCGGGCAGAGTATGCTACTGGCTACTAGTTGGCAAGAGACGCATGCAGTCACGAAATGCATCATAAGCCTCTCACGAGGACTTAACTCCCCAATATTGGCAGAAAGCTCGATATTACTTCGTATCTTTTACTTAGAAGCCTTTTACTCGCCGCTGACCTACCTGACCATATAAATATAGGCAACTCGAATTTACTTTTTATTTTTCACTCGGAAGCCTTTTACTCGCCAGTAAGCTACCTGGCAATATAAATGGGTTGGACGGGCTTGCGCGCTTGCTGTAGCTGAAGAAAGCAGTGTGGAGTTCAATATGAACAAACTTAAGTTCTTTCAACGCTGAAAACTTTTTCCATCGAAAAATCGCTGTTCGGATTCAATGCCCACCTGTCGGAGACCGGTTGAACCAGAGGGGAACCTATCGAAGCGGCAGTGTACGTGGAGGCTTCTTTAGACGACAAAATGGTTCCTGAAGCGCCTAAATAACGGAGAGTGATACGTAGGATGTCTCATTAGTACAATCATATTTTCAGGTATTCTACCAAAGTGTGGCCAGCGTCGCTGGTAGGGTCAATGGCTGCCACTGTGGCGTCGACGCGGCAGTGCGCCGGTAATTGCCAAGTGCAATAAAAATGTTAGCCTGACGCCGCCTTCATGATCATGGACTTGAATGCGTGGGAACTCTTTCATTTACGGCTCCCAGGCTCTTCGGCATCCTAGGAGACCTATTGTTGGAGACCTCGCGAATCCGAGAGCGAAGCGGTTTCATTGTGGGGGTCGGGCATGGGGAGATCCCCCTAGAAACCTGTCTATCTGCGCATGTAAAACATCCTGCAGGTGTGTGGGGATACGAATGCTTGCAATAACAGCCGCTGGATTTCCTAAATGAACCGAAAAAGTGAACAAGGCTGTCGGGGTTGCGACTGCTGGTGTTGGCCGCATCCTTTCCATCGTCGTCGTCAATGAAACTGGAGGGTACAGAAGTTTTGGAGCAGGTGAGAAGTTCGATAGAGTATTTTGTGATTTACTGCAGATATTTGCTTTTGAGTTTTGCGTAGATGGCTGCTCAGGCCTTCTGTATCGGTTTGCTACGCTAGGCTGGCAGCGTCGCTCTCTAGTTTTGGTATTTGTTTTGCCTCGTCTTTTCGTCAGCGTACATCTGCGCATTCAGTATCCAAGGCCACTCCAGCCGTGGTGGCGTTTCTCTGGTAATTCGTGCAGGATATTCGTGATATGTCGCTGGCGTCACCATACTTCGCCTTCGCATGGATGATGGAAATTTCCTAACACCAGCAGTCCGCCTGGGTGCAAATGTCAGTATTTTCCTAGAGGACGCATATACCCAAACAGGAAAACCAACGTAGTCGAAGTCTTCCGTGTCTGTGCCCTGCTGTGCGCAGTCCACTCCCTGGTTTTTTTGTAGCAGGACCACCCAGTAAAACCTTCCCAGGTTTGACGCTTCTACATTTAATTAAGGTGCCAGAATTCCGCATAGCATAAATGTTCTGCTCTTCTCACTTCGCGTCCTCATCAAGTCGGCCTTCTTCTAAGCAGGCGGCGTAGAAGGGGCAGGCTTGCATCTACATATTCGTGGGTTCTGTTCCTTTGGATGCTCCTTTGGATTATTGGCACCTGTCTGAAAATGATGCACAATAATCAGGTGTTCAGCATTCTTCGCTTGCAAATGTGTTTCTGGCTGTTTGCTGCACTCTGGCTTATGGAGCAACAAAATGTACAGCCGTCAGAGGCAACCGAGACAGCCCCCGAACACTCACCACCATTGAGAGTGTCGAACGAATTCCCCTCCAGTGCGTTGGATGCACTGCATGCCGAACTGGATGCCCAGCAGGAAATAGAAGGTGGCAAGCCTACAACAGGTCGTGTCGCAAAGAAAGGATATCTGCTGGTTGCATTGGTTCTGGCTTGCGTAATTGTAGCGAAAGCAATTGCAGTTCTTAGGGAGAGCCAGAGCGTGGAGGCGGAGGAAAATCTCGAAACCCCCACAGAGGAACCCATGCCGGAAAAGGGAATAGGGGAAAAAGGGCCTACACTTGAGGAAGAACATCTGCTGGCTCAGAAACCAACACAAGGACCTGGTGAAGGCCCATACGAAGGGAGGCCGATAACGCATGGGCAAAAGACTCGAAAGGAATATGGCCCGGAGCAAACGTCTCCTTCCGCTCCTTTTGGCACTCCCCAGGTGCAACCAACTGTTGAACAGGCGGAAAAGGGAAAAAAAGGAAAGGGTGCAGCGAGGAAGGAAAGAAAAGGTAAGGAGAAAAAGAACGACGTTGGGGGACGAAAAGAGGCCAAGGATAAGAAAAAAGCAGGGGTTAAACAACCTTCACTACCATCTGGCCCACCAGGTGCTGGACCTGCTGCCGAAGATTCCCAAAGCTCCGGCAGGGAAAGTTACGGAAAAGGATCTGCAGAAGTGGGAGACGTCCATCCAGAAATTGTGAGTGAGCAGCCTCACGATATCCCAGGGAGCGGAGATGCCATGGCAACCGAGGAAGACGCTACTCTGCAAGAATTGAGGGATCAGCGGAGCGTCATCAGCAGACTTAAGGATGTTGCGACCTGGCTGGCAGGTGAACTGTGTGTGGAGGAGGCATCGGAGATCCTGAATAAATTCAATTCGAATATGGGAGCTGCTGAACAAGCGGAGATGGCGTATGATTCTGCCATAAGCCAAAGCGACCCAAATATTGCAACTACTCGGGATGAGACCATTAAATTAATAAGAGCATCCCTGGAAGGAGCTCGTGGCGCCCTCATCAGTTTAGCAGCACTGGCAAAACTCCATGCTGAGGCAGTGCAGGATTACTGTTCTGCAAGCCTTCATTTTACGGACGTTGAAAGTTTGCGGGAGCGTTTGCAGGACAGCTCGGACGCAACGTCGGTTACATTGGCCATCAGGACGCTGGGGTCTGTGGAAACTACCTCTAAAACTCTTCAACGGGAGATTGATGAGCAAGTTAGGCTCTTGAAGTCTGCAACATTTACGGCGGAGTGTGAAGCAAATGCTTTTATCGAAATATCCTCAGCGGCTGCTGCCGTGAACTCCAGGAAGGCAACGTTGGAACGTTTGGCTGCTCTGGATAAGGCATTGACATGCGATATTTTGGAAATGTATAAGGTGTGGATTGTGTCGAAACTTCAAGATAGCCGCATACCGCTTGGAATGGAGTCAAATCTAGTCTGGGGCCTTCACAAACTATTGTCCGAGACTCGGCGAGCATCTGAGGGGCAATCAGCTTCTGGAATAACAGATGCAGATGTACAAGGCATGAAAGAAATGTTTACTTTGCAATTGCAGGAAATGGATGCTATTAATTCTGCTCAGGGCTTCGAGGAAGCTTTAGCTGCGTTTGAACGCGCGAAAGCACTTAGCCAACCAATTAGATCTACACTGCAGTTGCACAAGGAAGCTATACAGGAGACTTTGGAGCACAAGCCGCTGAGCAAGAAAGAAGCCAGCTCTGCGTCGGACGTGCTGGGGGAGATTGCTCATACTGCCGTCAAAAGCAGCGAAGAGTTCTTGGACTTTACGAAAACTGTTTGTGCAGAGCTTGGCGACAAGTCTGGAGTCAAATTACTACTACGGAAGCTGTCATCTAGGATCAAGACCGGTACTGGAGAGCAAGTTGAGGATGGTGCGCGCGCTGACATCTGTATCGTAGCTGTTGTGAAGAAGCATTTCTCCGAACCAAAGCGCCAACTCCAAGCTCTTCTAAAGGAATTTTTATCGAGAGCCCAGGAAATAAATGGTTTGGTAAAGAAGGGTAGAAAATATAAACTGGATAAAGAAGGAATAGGATCCTCTGCACTGGACCAGAAAACAGAACACAGACTCGAAGTGGCGACGAGGAAAAGACAGGTAGCGCTTCTTCGGATGCGATTTCAATACCTTTTTTTATTAGCGATGGAACTTGAGGAGCTTGAAAACGCAGTAAACGTTATATTCGATTCTCCACTTCGGAAAACAACAGATGGATGGGCTGAACTGGAACGCCTTAAGGACGAATTCGCAAGTGAAAAGTCAGTGCTCATGGGTGCAGAGAAGCATACCGTAATACCTGAATCTTTCGACAAGATGTTGCAGATCTTTTTAAAAATTCAAAGTCTGTTTGAAAACGAACGGTTGGAGCAGCTTAAGGAGGCATTCAACTGTCCTTGTGACGATCCAGAGAGAAAATAAAGCAGGCTTTCTCCTGAACAGTAGAGAGGCGCCAACGCACCTCTTTCTTCGTTGCCGATTTCCAAGTATTGCACAGTAGAACACTGGTGGTGATGCAGCAGGTTACTGCGTATGCAGTTGTTTGCGTTGAATGCAAAATTAAATGTAAATTACAACAATGCGTCTGGACACGCCTTGTACGGCAAAGGCCCCTTTCACGTTGGCTTCTCGTAATAAGCACTTCCGGCAAGATATGAAAGTTGTCTCAGACTCTTTCTGCTCCGATCCGGGGGCGACCCCAGCAACGATTTCTCGTCGCACAAGTTCTGTGCAATTATTTGTTCTGTGAAATTCTTGCAGCAGGCACTGTACATGGCGCCTAATTCTCTGCTACGTTCGTTCACTCAGGCATCTGAGTGGCGTGCCGTGTAGTGCACTGCTCCACAGCTCTTTGCGCTGTTGGCTGACCGCCACCGTTTTTCCTGGTTTAGCATTCGCACCACGGTAAGCGAGTTTGCATGGAGCTCTCTGAGGTGAGTAGCTGTATCATCAGGTGCTCGCATGCTGGAGGGTCGTAGTAGCCCAGCTGCGGCTTATTGGCGGCGCTGTGGCTCAGTGGTAGCCTAGAAATAGACCTTCAGCCTGCCGTCCCAGTTGATGTCAGAAGCTATAATGATGTGCGGTTCTCCAGCGAGCTACCAAACGCTCAGCCTCAAGCGAGCGTTTGCCTATTCAGGGTTGCTAATCTTGGACGTGTGCTGTAGCTGGCGTTCCCTGTTCAAGAAACACACGCTGTTGCCTCATAGCAAAGCAGAGATTATCCAATTAAAAACTTAAATGGCCCTTGCATGCTGACCAGCACGCGTCCACAACGCTTGCGACATAAGTTGCTTCGAAGACATCTGGGCCCCTGGATGCTCGGCGGTTGGTGCTCATTGTCTGAAGCGCCAGGGGAAGTATATTTGCGCACAACTCTAGCATGTTAGCTGGAACAGAAGCGTTGAACGTGGGAAGCGGCTTCAGGATGCTCTTGCTACAAAATAATCGGGGAGTGGGCTGCCCACAGTATGGCACCCACACAGCAAAGTTCGTTAATGGTGGCATTCCTGCATGGGCCTATGCGTTCTGCAGCGTTCCGTATGCAAATACTAATATCTAAATCCACACTTTGGAATTTCTGGCTTGAGGGCACAGGCGGACTATGGCCTGAATGCACAGGTCTACTGTACTGAAAATACGGGGTACAACAATGCCAAAACTGCAGAACGATGCGGCCAGCCAAGTTACTGCGTAGCAAACCGACAAAGAAGGCCTGAGTAGTCATCTACGCAAAACTCAAAAGTAAATATCAGCAGTAAGTCACAAAAAAACCCTACCCAGCTTCTCAGCTGTTCCAAAACTTATGTACCCGCCAGTTTCATTGACGGCGACGATGAAAAGAATGCAGCCAACACAAGTAGTCGCAACCCCGTCAGCTTAGTTCACTTTCCCGGTGTATTTAGGCAATCCAGCGGCTGTTATTGAAAACATTAGCTGCCCCACACAACCGCTGGATGCTCTAGCCCTTCGGCCTGCGTGCCCCGTACGGATGGAGATTGAAGGGGAAGTCAGGTACTTTAGGACGACCCCCATCTTACATCTTTTTCAGCTCACGGCTGCCCTTTGTTACGACACAGTGTCCGCCCTACAACAGCTAATGTCAGGGTTGGAAATCGGAAAATATTGAGGAGGCAGACTATACCGATTTCCGTAAGCCTCCCGTTTTGGAGAAGCGTTGATAAAGGAATTTTACGACGAACCGTTTACTATGTGACACAATAAGTTGAATGTCTTCTCTCACTGTCGGCCCTCGGGCCTTTGTCGGGCCGTTGGGGCTGCAGCCCTTCATCACCCCTCGCTGGCCAGCAGGCCGATTGCTCAGTCAAAGGCGTGGTTTCCGGAGCCATCAACTTCCTTTTCCTTCCTGTACTTATATGCATGTACATATATACGACATCTTACGACCAAAGTTGACCAAATTGATTCCCAGCTTTCTATGGTTTTCACCGAACAAACGCCGAGCTCTGCCGCATGCAAGTGGCGGCCATATCGATGCACGATTCTAGGGGCATCTTCAAAGCTTTTGTTGGTGTTATGTAGATAAACGTTGAGAAGTGGTGTAACTGCACGGGCTCAGGAGGAGCTAGAGTCCTCCCATTTCCGACGTTGCGGGGGCCGAGCTGATATTGAGAGGGATGCGAAAATGGAAACAGCGATATTATCATGCAGGTGGGATAGTATTTCGTAGTGCTCAAATCCTGGCTAGCAAGGTAGCGCCTATATGTATTTAAGCGATTCTATCGAGTGTAGCTCTTTTCCGCGTTTCAGGTGTATCGATAGCCAACCGCCATCTAGCGTGGAGGCCTTGCAATTCAGTCCTGACGGTCGGTGGTTGGCAGTCGGCCGATCAAGCGGAATAGTTGAAGTTTTCAGTTCTGTGAGCCGTCATTTAAAACTGGTAAGTGCGTGGGGGCTGCTTTTCCCGCACTTTGCAGCTCATGCTCATGTGTTTACTCCTGGTGCGTGTTGAGTGATCATGAATTCGCACTCCGACATCCCGTGATTATGTATATTTTTCACGACGTTTCCGTGTTTTTTTCCCAGAGGATTTCAACGGATTCTTGCAGCTCCGTGCGGAACATCATTTGGCTGCCTTTGACTTTGGGGGCGGCCAAGTCTTCAGCGGCTTGTGAGGCAGGCGGCGTCACTACGGGCGAGACGGACCTCGGGGACGTCACAGCAATTTCCCTCTTTGAGTGGCGCCTCATAACAACGGGCCTTCATGGCGTGATTACATCGTGGAACTTGCGCACTTGCCGTATTCAGGTGCGAGTGCAAGCGGCGAATCAGCAGGAGAAATATGGGGTTTGACGAGGGACATGGGAACTGTTGCCTTCTTTTTTGCATCGCTGCACGTCAATGTGGCTCGAGAGTTTAAGGCAATTTAGTTCTCTTGCGCTTCTGCATTTCCTTGTCATTTCGTGCAGCCCGTGTTAGCCTTTGAGTATGCGTGCGCTGCTGTGTTGCAACTTGACAGGCCGAGTGTCCCTCCAATGGCGGCGCTGTTTTCTCCCTCTGCCGCGCCCCCCCCGAAGTAGGTTTACCGTCGTTCGCTGCTGCATGCGATGACGGCCGCGTGCGACTTCTGCGCGTCTCTGGGACGGCAGCCAGGGCCTGTCGCGAGCACAGCGACGACCCTTATGTTGGAATGTTGTCAAGCGACAATGGCTTCACTGAAGAGATTCAAGTTACCCACACTCTCCCGAAAACCAAAAGTCCGTTTCGTTCTTCTAGGGGTGACCCGAATTGCACACATTTTGCGCATTTGTCTTCTAAAAGAGCGCAGCACAGTGCACCATTTAATTGCTTCGACGCTCTTGTTGAACTGCGAGAATGAAAAGCAGTGGCGATATACGGGATTAAATGCATGGAGGGGGAGAGAAGGGAAGGAAAGGAACATAGAGATTCAAGGGTTGAGTTGAGAGAGCGCTACGTAGAGTGTCATTACGCGCATTTTGCGGGCCGTGTTGTGGTGTTTTTGTGCGGTCGTCACCAGGCCGTTTGCTTTCAGTGTGCTGGTACTCCCGGGATCTGATTTTTGCGGGAAATGCTTCCTCGTGCATTTTGCGGTTTTCGCGCTCGGGGCAGCATAGTGCATTCGCGGCGGATGGGCAAATGGCGCTGGATAGCAGACCTCTAGCAGGAGAATCTAAGTCGGAAAGTGAGCTGAAGTTATAATAAATTCATTAAATCTAAAGGTCCCTTCTCGCACTATAGGCTTGCTGCCCCAAACAGAGAGAGACCCAGCAACGTTTGACTTGTGCTGGTGACGGAGTTCAGTTGTCTTCGTGTAGTATCCTGGCGGAGTATGATCAGAACTGGTAGACATCGGAGAGTTGATTATTTTTTGTTGGGGTTTATAAGCACCTATGTGTGACTGTCCTCTGTTCAGTAATAGGTCGACAGTGGGCATCGTTCTCCCCTCGTTTTCTTGTCGGTTTTGTTACTGTTTGTCTGTTTTGTCGAACATATTTTGATGATGTGTTATGTTGTCTTCTGAACTGCAGACAACTCCACTCTTGTTTGGAACCTGAGGGCGCTCCGTCGTCGCTCGTTGCTGCTCAGTGGTGACAGTCGGGGGCGCATAACTTTGTGGAGTTTGCCCGCTTGTGTGGCGCTGCAAACATTGCACGTGCACGTTGCTGACGTGCTGGACATGCAGTTGATGGTGTGTATAGACAGCTTGATCGCGGACAACAGTCACAGTGACGCGCAAACAGTGAAAAGGAAAGAGGAGGTTGTCCTGTCCGTCGGGGTAGACGGGAAACTATCTGCAATAAGCAGAACGGAGGTACAAGCTGAATAGGATGCAGTAGCTGAATAGCTTAGGGGCCCTTCTACACGACAGAAGAAGGACTTCCGTATGGCCCGTGTTCCACCTGCATGCTTTGGTTCGTGCTGTCTACCCATATCAGCTGCAAGAGCCACGACAGCAGTAGCAGCACCAGCACAGATAAAGCTTGTAGCGAATTCTTGGCTTATTGTGCAGGAAGACCGGTGGGTAGTTCGCGCGTGTCGTTACCCGCATTTGTGCGACAGCCAAGCCGTCGCCTGTCTGCCAAGAGTTCCTGGAGGCCCTGACGGTTCTTTGATTGTGACGGGGGCAGCAGATGGAAGCATAAAGTGGATGCGAAACCTCACTGAACTGGCGGTAGGCCCCAGGACGGCTGAAGCTCATATCCACTGTCTACCCATACATTCGCACGTATGCAGCTGCCTGCTACGTTCTTGCAGCTTCGTTTGGTCGGGGGGTGCTGCTCTTCAGGGTCTCAAGGCACCATGTTTGCCCTTCTGTTTGTCTCCTTCCCTTCGGGGCCTCCAGCGGCCGAAGGTGATTTGGAAGAAGCGGCTGCTGGTGTGTCCGTCTGCTACTGACATCGGAATATGGTGCGCAGTCGAAGCAGCGGAAACAAATCCACCCCTAGACCGAATATATGTATATAGAGCATAAATATTTGCTGTTTGTATCAGGCCATATATCTATACCTATATATGTGTGCATGGAATTTTTGGGGACGTCTCGCTCGCAGCTGGGTTCAAGTGTCCTTGTTTCTGTTTGTCGCGTATCTTCACCGCTTTATGGTGTCTGATGCCCTTTTCTTCGCGCTGAGATGCTGCTGCTCATCTTTGCTTTAGGCACATCGAAGATGCAGCGTGGGGGGGGAATGGCAGCAGCGCAGCGGGAGAAAACAAATCGGCAGAACCCCCACAGTCACCTTTGATTAAGCTTGCGAGAATAGCGTTGCCAAAACACTCGAAGATAAACTGCTGCGATGCTGCCAAAGACGGACAGCTGTTAGCCGTGGGGAGCAACGACGGGCTGCACCTTTTTGGCTTCCATATCAAAGAGGTTAGGAAACAGTCTGTCTGGATGGAAAGAGTCAAGGCTCTACCCGCTGCTCCTCTGTAGTCATTTTTGTGAACCTCTTTACGTATTGTATATATATATATATGCATATATGTGTATATATATCTTAAGCATATACCTGCCTGCTGCGCTTGTCTCTTGCCTCAGCTGGAGATTCAGGATTTGCAATGCCTGGGCGCTTGCCGAGTAAAGGAGATGGTGACGGCTTTACAGTTTGTTTCCCGCAGTGTTCTTGCGTGCTGTTTCTTTTCGCACAAAAGCCGGAAAGCGGCGAACTACCGCCGCCTGCGCGGAGTTGGTAAGGTTGTTGGCTCTCTCTCAACGAGCAATTCTGTGGGGAATGGCGTCGATGAGAAAACGCAAAAAGGCCGAGGAAAAACAGAAGAAGAAAGCTCTTGCGCCACCACTTCAAAGAAGTGGTTTTGCAAAGATATCCCCTGTATGCGTGAGGCAGAAGCTCTGCCAGACCGCCTGGGGGAAATAGACGGCAAGTTTTGCCTTTCATTCATTAAAGTCTCCACTGGAACGGAACTCGCGTCTGTCCGAGACTTGCCCTTCCGTAAGGCCACTGATTTCGTTCCGGAGTATAAGAACATCCAGTGCTATCATTGTCTGGACTGTGGCGGATTGTGCTTATTGCGAAACATTTTCGTGTGTCATGTGCATGTAAAAGTGGCGAATGTTGCATTATTTGCCGCATTATGCGTGGTGGTTTGCTGTGATGTACTCAGCGCTTGTCCACATGGATTTGAGTCCTGATGGGAAGAAGCTGGGGTGCCTGAACAGCAACAGTTCCATATTCGTATTTGACGTTGAGTCTTTCGAATTGATATACTTCTTGCCAAACATTTTTAGAAGGGGGGAGAATGTGGCGAACTTTTGTTTTTCCCCTGACTCCTCGAGGTTGTTCGTGTTGGGCACTCGCAACGGTTATTTCCTGACGGAGCTGAACGAGCTCGATTCCTCTTTAAATGAACGTAACGACAACAACAAAGACGAAGCGAAAACGGAATCAAATAACCGAAAATTTCAAAGACAAAGGCGGATTGTCCGCTCGGTACGATGCACGAACTTTTGGACTTAAAAAAAATGAATGTCTTCTCCACACCCCAGAATAGAGAAAGCAACAAGCAGAGGGAGAAGGCTTCAGTTGGCGTTTGTAGTTGACTTTGACAGCTGTTGGCTTTCAGTGTCCCGTAATAACATGGTTGCTGTGCTTTGAGTGTCGGCGCCGGTGTCTGTTGCACTGAGAAATATGCGTTGGGTGCATTTGCGATGTTTCCTCTGTACAGATTCCTGCTCGCCAACTGTCGCGAGAAGACGGCTCAATTGTGCATTGCAAATGGGTTGAGGACGAAGGGACAGCGTATGTGCTGTGCATGACGCCTTCAAGCTTGTACAAGCTGTCGCTGGGAGATGCGGCGGCGTCTATGGACGTCGAAAACAGGCATCAGAAGAACCGAGGGAGAGAAATTAGACTATTAAATATGAGCAGCGACTCGGAGGAGGACAGGGACTGCCAAGACAACGGCTGTTCATCACAAACGGTGCGAAGACGACCCGAAGCATTTGTCCAGCTTTCTCACCCGAAAAGCGTGTCAGCATACGAGGGTTTGTCGTTTAGGCATTAGGAGCGGCGCGTTTATGTTTAGCGGTTGATGCCTCTGTATGCGTTGTTTGTCGCAGCTTTCGTTTCCCCGTCACCTTAAGAAGCTGCGAGGGCAACGCCCTATCATAATTTCGGCCGCTCCGGTGTATGCTGCACCTTTCTGTGTGCCTCGTGTTCTCCCTGCTTCTCTTTCTCGGCCTGAAAACGAGGAGGGGTTGAGCCTCTTCTGGAACTCGCAAGGCTCTCCCCACTGCGGGGCCACTCCGGGTGGTACCGACAGCACGCGTTCAACAGCTACGACGCCTGGCGATTCGCCGGTCAGTGCCCAGAGAATAGGGGGAAGGGAGGCCCCCGCAGAGGGCAGCGGGAGGAAACGCATGTTTAACAGTATTGCCCATACGGCGCGGCTGCTCTGCCAAAGCAATAATAAAGGCTTCGTTGGGTTTGCACTCGAGAAATGTGACGGGCAAACTGCAGTTAAAATGCTTCCTTGCTCAAATGGGCCCTGCAGCCGCGCCCTTGTTTTGCTGGAGGTGTTGAACAACGGCACACCAAACGACCCTTCTTCGCTCCCTCCCTTTAACAGAAAGCGTTATGGCACATAATACACTTATGGCCGCGCAGGTGGTGAGGGCCCGGAGGAAGAGGGGGGAGGGAGGAAATAGAATGCTTTTCTGCTCCTCTCAACACTCTGAACTGTCAGAATGTTTCCGTGGTTGTTGGCTGGCTGTAGTCCCGAAGGGGCATAGGGATTGCCTATGGATGCTTTCCGTATTCAGAAGATTTCTGGTGTGAGCGTTGAGCTTCAAATCTGCACATCAGCTAGCTATTTTCACAACTCTATTGGTGTTAGTTTTGCCTACGCTGCCACTTTGCTGTTGGTACGTAGCGTCCCCAATAATGAAGGGCATCGCTGGCCGCCGTGCCAATAGAAATTGAGGGAAAAGCAAGAAAGAAGGAAATGTTAACTCCTGTTCAGTCGTCGTCGTCCATTTTAGGCATGTACGCGAAAGTGTTCAAAAGGGAAGTGATGCTCCTCCTGCCGCAGGTTGCGCACACGGGTGTAAGCTGCACTTTAACTACGTCGCGATAAAAGCAGTGCTTGTCTTTGACGTCATAGCTAATGGCTGTCTAACTGCTCTTGATGAGCAGGCAAGAGGCGAAGGAATCCTTACATTTCTGTCAACAGTTCCGACGGCGTCGTCAGCCTCTCAACCTTCACAGCGCTGTCAAAGAGTCCCATTAATTGGCGCTTGTTCAAAGTTTCCTTCGCCAGCAGCATCAGCGCCTGCGTCCACACCGCAGACAGTCGGTACGAGCTGCAATGGGGAACGGATGATGGAACGCTGTAAAGGAGCCATGAAAAAGCAGAAGGCGGCATGCATTTACAAACGAGAAGCAGAATAATTCATCGGGTGGCACCGCAGCAGGACAACTTTCGACAAAGTAACGTTAGTTCTATGGAACCAAACTAAATGTAAAGAACTTCAGAGGTTTTCTATAGGCAAAGTGCACTTGCAACTCCATTTCGGACTCATTTACCCTCTCCAGTCCCGCGATATACGATTCGATGCTCTGCATGAAAACGCGACGGCTGCGCAGCGAATCGCAAAAGCCAGCTAATGCCAATCACAATACTTGACAACACGACAAGCAAAATGCACCAAAACTCAGAGGCGCATCAACATACTGTATGCATATATATATATATATATATATATATATATATATTTCTTGGGGCCTTACTCTTCGGCGGCGAAATCTGATGGGCTTTTTGCTGCAACAGCCTCCAGTTTCGTTGCATTATGGTCAATGAAGGAAATCGTTTCCTGAAGAGTCTGGAGGAAACATCAGAGGCATCTGTGCGCGCATATGTGCACATTATCTCGGGTAGACTGAAGGTGCTTGCTTGCATCTGCCTTCTGCGTCAACAAATAAATCTATATATATATGCACGTTTTTCATATACATATATATATATATATGAAAAACGTGCATATATATGTTTTTGTACATGTATTTACAGAATGCAAGATGCATGCATGCATGAACGCAGCAGCAGTGATTTTTTTTGGGGTGTTCAATATACGCTTTACTACTAATACGGACCCTTTCAGTGAGGAATACGTCTGAGACGGCCTTCTTTGCAGTACGCTCCTTCAGTTCAAAAAGTTTCGTCTTGCATTTGAGCATCCAATCAACATTTGAAGGCTGTTTCTTCTTCCAGCGACGTTGGGTGCCTTCATCGGGGCTCTCATCGCGTTCATGTTTTCGCTGCATTCTGCTGCCTTCGTCGCCACCCCCGTCTTTACCTGGAGGTGACAAACCGCTGTCAGCTTCAGGACTTGAAAACAAAGGAGAAATGCCGATGCCAGAACCGCGCGCCAGAGGCACCCCGCGGCCCCTGCAGCGAATCCGCAGCAACGCTCCAACACAGAACGCGCTCCATTTACTATGTCCAGTGCATGCATGCGAACTAAACTGTATCACGCAAGTTCTTTAGAAAAGAACCGACATTTTTGGCACAAGAGGAAAAACTCCGCCTCGTTCAGAAGTGCAGGCAAATGAGTCGTGTCGATCGTTAGCGTGCAGAGAACACGCAGCGGCATGGTTAGAACGCCCTCTGCACGCGCGATATGATAGTTATTACGGGAATTCACAAGAACGAAAGTAAGGGTTAAGAGCAGATGTACAAGAATACGCCAACCCACCTGCCGGCACCTGGTGGGTGCAGTCCTCTCCCTCTACCTCGGCCGCCCTCTGGAGTTTTTCCCTCGTTTGAATTTGCGCTTCCGTCCTTTGAAGTATTGTTTACCGGCTCAGGTGACGCCGGAGGAGAAGGAGGTGGTGGGAGTTTCGCCAAGACTGAAGAAAGAAAGAGAATGACCGCCTCTCCCCTGCTCGTTATTTTCTGGAAAAACGCTCAAGGACAACGCAGGCGCAAGGCAAACATAGTTCAACAGTAGATTATTTTTCGAGGTCTTTTGTGCATCTAATCCAACTTCGTTTATCGCAGTGATTCAGACACAACTGCAGGAAGGAGAGGGGAAACCAGTACGCCTGCGTCCTCCTGCCTCTTTGGCCTCCGAAGCTGCTGATGGTCCTTAGAGCTGAAGATAATTTTCTTCTAGAGCTGCTTCGTAGATTTGCGCAATAAAATAAAGTGCTTAAACTAAAATGATCTTGATGCAAAATACACGGCAGGTGTATATAGAGCGCACTCGAATTTTTGTTTACCTCGAGCAGCTGAACAAGAAACTTCCGTGACTGACGGACGCTCTTCTCTGTTCCCCAAATAGGGTTCATTGCATGAAATGAAAGTCCATCCTGAAGGCAAAACAGCTGGGCGAAACGAGACGAAATAAACAAGCAAAGAGCCACGAAAGTGCAGTCTGCAAAAATAACTTGACGCTTAAAATGTCTTTCTGTCGCACGAGTTCAAAGGTAAACTGCAAAGAAACATCCACGACGTTTTTCGTCTTCTTCAGCAAGCTTTCAACAGTTTCTCGGCTTATGTCGACCTTCCCTTCCTCGCCCTCATTTCCTGGAGGCTTAACCGCCGAGGCGAAGCGAGCAAACGAGTCCTTCTTCCCCTCCAGCGTTTTCAGGATCTGAAGGATTGTCAAAGACAGCACTTGTGCAAAACAAATGCATATATTCTTAATGCAGGCATGAAGATACAATATATATACAAATATTGAAGGCATCTTAAATCATCAACACCTGCCCACTAAGGTGAAATCCAAAATGAATGGAAATTTGTGCGCAAATGAAACAGTGTTTTGAAGAACGGTAAAAAGAAGAAAATTAACCAATTCAAATGAAGTTTAAACGCACCTGGTTCGCTGAAACCAGGAGAGAATTTTTAATCTCAGTTGCAGTAGCCACGATCTGCAAGCAATGCGTAAATGTTCAGTATGTTTGAAAATATCCTTCTACAAGGCCGTCCGCATGCATATACGCTTCTAATGATGCACTTTTCGCACTAACAGGAGGGAAACACAGGTGGAATTTCAGTAAATTCGGCTTATGTAGATGAATTACCCGGGGATGTGTGGAGTCGAGAAGCACAAGGGTCAACACCTCCTCATCGTCTATCTGCGAAAGATCGGGAACCTCCATTGTCTGTCGTAAGTACAGATGGAGAAATTTAAAGAGATGGCGACAGCCAAACTGATGAGGAAACAGGGGGCGTCGTCTGGGAGAGGAAGATATGCAGATTAAGTTGCAGTCCCCGAAAAGGGGGAAAAGAGGCTTAATTGAATTCCCACAAATAAAACGTGCAGCTCCGTTCCTCGGTCTTTTTGAAGTTGACAAGACGAATGGCAGCAACGCGGCTTGAAATGGATATAATAATGAACAGGAAACGGAGTTAATCGCGAGATGGAAACCGGCAAACAAATGCCCCGAGCACAGGGCGATGAAGGCACTCTAAATCATCAAGCAAGCTATTACCGAAAGTTCTTGTGCAGAACACTATAGCTAATCATTCTCTCTTTCCCTCTAACCAAACAAATGCAAGGCTGACGCACACCTTCCTGTTGGCGGGTCGCCAAGAAAGCTGCCCTTCGAAGCAGGTGCTTTTAAAACAAAATAAATCCACGAGGGGAAATTAGGCTGATAATCAGCATTAGGCAGCTGTGTACAATACACATATATTCATATATGCATTCAAAGTGAAGAAAGACTCCCGCCGCTGTAGACGGAGAGAAAACGACCGAAAACTGGGGGAGGGCCCCTCCTCGGAACTGAAAAAGGAGATGTTTAGAAACAGCAAAATACGTTCTTCCTCAAATTAAACGTAAAAAATGAATTCCTTTGCGTTTCATCATCGTGAAACCTTCCAAGGGGTTCGGGTCGTTGCCACAGCCCCAACAGTACACCGACATGCATTGGTCCTTCCATTTCAAAGGCGGCACATAGCGTTTGCAAACGAAACCTAGAAAATAATACAAAAAATAATAAATAACAGACAACTGGAAAGGGAGAAAGCTTTAGGGACGAAATGCGAAAGGCCCTTTGAATGGCCCGAAACAGCGGAAACGAAGTCAAGACAATTTATCCAGGGGACGAAAATAATCCAACCGCCGTTACTACTTTAGATTAATTAGTGTGGCAGTTTAAGCAATATTTACTCTATCTATATTCGGTTCCAAGGGGATTCGCCATTTGTATTGCAATCTCCCCTGAGCCACCACCGGTACATGATTTCAGTAAGTTGGTGTCTACGTCGTGCAAAAATAAGCTATGTGCAGGCACTACATTGTAGTGCTTCTCTCTTTTATTAATTTTGAATGCCCTTTTATCGATCCACTGGGCACGAGTAGAAAGAGCTGTATTATACGCAGCGGAAACCAGCAAGCAAAAGCGTAAGTGCGAGTACCTAAACGGGTAATAACCCATTTGATTCGACGCAGAGGTTTATTTCTTTCTGTTGTCACACAAAACGTTTTTTTTATTTTAGGAGTGGAGAATTTACTCTCAACGACCCCTCACAAACGCCGTAGGTGAAAACAGTTGCATCGGAAACAATCGGGGAGTACAGACAGCATTCATCGGTGGCAAATGTGTGCGCTTGCCGATTCATCTCTTGCGATTTTTGCAAGAAAAGCGGGGGAAACACGGTTTTTTTTTCTTTTTCTAAAATTCAACGATTATTCTTCAAGATGGCAACTCTTGGAGAGAGCAAATCCGCTCGTAAACATGTCGGAACCGCGCCCATTGCAGCATCTGATCTGAATGAAGGATGTGATGAGCATTTCATTGCAATAGTGGGTCGATCCTTTATTCCGTGAATTCGTCGTTTGCCATTATTGTGGTGCAGGAGAAACTCCAAAATGTAGGAATAAACGCGGCAGATATCTCAAAGCTGCGGACTTCCGGTTATTGCACTGTCTTGTCAGTGATTCAGACAACCGTAAGCGGAAAAAACCCTCGATTTGTTCGAGGCTATTCAGTCGCTACTTCTTCGGATGTTTGACAGAAAAAGGACCTGGCACTTGTGAAGGGGCTCTCAGAGGCGAAAGTCGAAAAGATCGTCGAGGCAGCGATGAAGTTGGAGTTGTGCAATTCTTTCATCAGTGGTGGCGAGCTGATAACGCGGCGTGCGAAAGTGGTGAAAATAACAACAGGTCAGTTTCTTTTTTGTTTAGTGCCAAGTGCCTGAGCAGCAAGTAACTATAAATAATCTTTCTTTATGACTCAATCGACCATTGCCGTACAAACAATGATCATCTGACATATTGCACAGGCGCTCCTCAACTCGATCAACTACTGGGAGGCGGAGTTGAAAGCATGTCCATAACCGAAATATTTGGAGAAAATCGATGCGGCAAAACTCAAATTTGTCACACGTTGTGTGTGACTGCTCAGCTGCCTCGGGAGATGGGTGGCGGTTGTGGAAAGGTGCGCATTAGTTTGCTGCTGTTTCTCTGTGCTTCTGTGTTTATTTGCGTGTATAAAGTATACTCATTAAGGTGGGTTTGCTCAGGTCTGCTACATAGACACCGAAGCGACATTCAGACCAGAGAAAATCTGTCTTATTGCTGAACGATTCGGTTTAGACGGCGCTGGTGTCCTCGACAATATTATGTATGCTCGCGCCTACACCACGGAACACATGCACCAACTCTTTACAGTCGCCGCAGCAAAGGTTCGTCTTGATTCGCGTTTTTAATTGAGTTTAATTAACTCTGTTAGCTGAGTTGAGGTGAATCAATTGTGTTTAATCATGCACATAAATCAATTGATTGAGTTTAATTCGCCGCTTTAATTGAGTTTGGCTGAATCGATAGATAGCGTTTAATTACCCCTTTGAATTATGACTTTTCACTGGTTTGCTGATTCTGAATTTGCTGTTAAATTCGTTCAAACTCTCTTTCATTTTCCTCCTTTCTCTGTTCAGATGAGCGAAGAGAAATTCGGTGGGCCATAATCGGGTCGGAGGGGCGTCTCTTTTGTCTGTTTATATTTTGCCTTCACTGAATTTGTTGATATATATTTTACTGAGTTTGTTGAAATTTGTTTCTTTTATCGTAGCCCTCATCCTCGTGGACTCCATTATGGCGCTCTTTCGAGTAGACTACAGCGGCAGAGGCGAACTGGCGGACAGACAGCAGAAGTTGAATAAAATGCTGAGCAGTTTAACGAAGATGTCGGAGCAATACAACGTAGCAGTGGTCATCACTAATCAAGTAATGTGCGCTCTGTTCACTCGTAACAACTTATATTATCTTCCTTATCCCCCTGAAATACGCATGTTTCTTTTCATGCATCTCGCCTGTTTTCTCGATTATTCTCCTCTGTTGCTTTTTATTTAATTTTATTTCCCTGTCTCAACGCAGGTCAGACCCCGGCGGCGGACTGACATTTGTTGCAAATCCCACAAAACCCAGTACGTCTGTGTTGAAGCCAGGAGTTGTTGTTTGAAGCCGCACGAAATGAAGCATAATATTCTTGAATTCGATGTTTATATCCTTAATTGCGCTCATTTTCCACTCGTTTTGTTCATACAGTTGGCGGACATGTCCTTGGCCACGCCTCTACCACGCGGCTTTCCCTACGAAAAGGCAAAGGCGACCAGCGGATTTGTAAGGTCTACGACGCTCCGAATTTGGCAGAGTCGGAGTGTATATTTCAGTTGTAAGCATTTTAACATGAATAAATAATTCACATATACAAATTGCAAAAAACGGCGTAATTGTATTCCCATAACTTCCTCAGGACCGCCCAGGGAATCACCGACGCCGCAGAGTGACCATTGGAGTGACCACTGGTCCATTCCCGAGGCAATTCTTTCCGGTGTCTCTTCGTTTAGATTACACCGGTGTTCTTCCCACTGTGATACTTTGATCAATCAACTCTTAATCTATTTCATTAACCCCGACGAACACGAGAAACGCTGTGCCTACGCCGCCCGTATTAGTATTATACATCCATGAAAACACATCTATACATATATACGTACGCGACCGCTGGTATCTTCGGCCTCAACCGTTACACCTATTTTTTACTGGTAAAGACATTCCATATTAACTCCTTTATATGGAATGCTGGCTGACAAAAGCGTACAGAAGACACAGCGTATATGTAAAAAGTCTATAAATAAATAAATATATATATATATATATACAAAAAGAAGGTATAAAAACGCTAATAAGAAAATAACCCCCCTAAGAGGAAACCTTCACCAAATGCAGCCATAGACAATGGCGTACGCTACATAGCTCGTAGAGAGTTAAGTCATATTCAAAGTGAACGCAGTTATGTAGATTAAATATATAAAACATAAACACAGCGACTCTCATTGAGCATATTAAGCACAAACTCATTTGTGTTTATTAAATATAGACGCATGCTGCACTGAAGGAGTCTGTACAGGAATAAGTGCAGTGCAGGAAGCAGCAGTAGCAGTGGGATAAGCAAACAGGTTAAGCGGTGAAAATTGGCATTTCTAGACCATAAAAGACAAACAAAATGAATTAATTCAATTTAATTCAACCGATTAAACTAATGGTTTAATAATACCCATCATTAAATGCTAGAAAATGCTGCGTAGGCGACAACAAAAACAATGAAAAAATCTCATTGACTAAACAGAGGTGATATCAGTTAGCCCTACTGATAATCTCCGCTGCAAAGCTGTTTGTTGCGTTGACTGTTTAAAACTTGAATAGATGAAAGCAGCATTAAACTGGTAAGGCGATGGCTTGTTGTTCAGTTAAGCGACCCAAGGCACAAGCCAGAAGACAAGCGTAAAAACTCTTCTCTCCCTTGAGGTGCATGTACACCCCAACCCCCTTTAATAATAAATAAGGGCAGCATTCGTGCGCATGCCTTGACATAAACAATAACCTTCATTCTTTCTCCTGCTATTCCGCATCGCTCAAACGTCTAAATGGAATTCGTCATCGCAAGCCAAGCAGCGAAGTTTTCCGCAAGTTGAACGTTTTCAACTAACGTAGTCTATTAATACACATTTGTCTCAATTGCATGCATATGCACTGAACGAATGCAATTGTTTAACCTCACTAAACAAACTCCTTTTTCATTTCTTTCCCTTCTTGCTGCCGTCGCGCCACTCCTTACTCCCCAGAACTGCACAACACAGCGAAAGCGGACAACAGCACAATATACAATAAATGCAGCATTTTAAAGGCATAAATCGACGTAAGCACAGCATGACAGCAAAACAAACAAAGGTTGTTATTATCGTGCGTAATGGCAAACTATCCCGACGCTTCTTTTTGCAGAATGCGCTTTTAATTACCATTGCTAAACTCCTGATATGAATGTTTATATTGAAGCTATTTAGTATTAATTTGACAATAATAAATAAATGCATTGTTATCTTCACTATTAGTATTATTATTATTGTTGTTTATTTACTTCTTCCCCCTCACCTGTGCAGTTAACACCCAACTGACACCAAATTTCCTGATCGCCCACTTTGATGGCGACCTTCCCTCCATGAAACCTGAAAGTAAATGCAAGCAAATTAAAATAAAGATAAATTAAATGAAATGCAATTAAAATAAAGATAAATTAACTGCAATTCAACTAAAATAAAGTCAAATTAAATGTAGTTGAATTAAAACGAAGTTAAATGCCATTCAAGAAGGTGCAGATAAGTAAAAAAAAGTTTAATTTAGAAAACTTAATCAAAAAACAAACTACCAACAGAACAATAGGCACATACATATAATACACCTATATATACACAAAACAGTTATTTATTTAGTCTAATTTAACTTAACTTAATTTAATTAATTAATTATCTATTCATACCATCCACAAGAGCCACTGCTGAATGTACGGGGTTTCATATCAAAAGTCATATCGCCGATCTTCGATGCCATTACAGGGGCTTTTTCTAAGAAGGCGCTGCGCGACATTAAACTCGCTGCAGCAAAAAGAAGAAAAAAAATAATATATGAATAAATATAAGTATAATTACTACTGTAATTAATCATCTAATGATATAGTATTAATATCTATTATTTTTGCGTAGGAATAGCAGCTGTCTTTGCATCGAGCATCACATTTACCTTACTTTGTTTATTAATATACAATAAAGGCATTAGTAAACTCATTTATATGCAATAAAGACATTAATAAATTCATTTATATACAATATAAAGACATTATTAAGTTTATATATATATATTATATATGCATAAGATATATATATATATATCATTAAATTCACCTATATACACTAAAGAAAGTTATATCTATACATATTCTATAAACACATGGTTAATGACATTTAAACACAGTGAAGACAAATAAATCTATTTATACACAGGACAGACACAGACAAAGACCAAACACGTAAATAAAATAATCTATGCACATCAAAGACATAAATAAATTCATTCGCAAACAACAAAGACATAAACAAACCCAACTTAATCACTTTAAAGAAACATATCAATCGATTGACGACATTATACAGATAATATATAATATTATATATATAATATACAAATATAATATATAGCACATAAATATATATACTATATACAAATAATATATATATAGATATGTGCTAAATAAATTTTCCAGATGATATTCTTCGCTCAAAGGAGCTGAATAAACAAATTTAAATTCAATTAAATATAACTAAGACGGCAGAGTGCCTGCATTATGATGTAATTCGTCTGTTATTTTACTAAATAGAGATTGCTAAGAAATCGTAATTAGTTTAAACTAAGTACAGAGAGCACGCAAAGAAGAACCTGTCTGTACACCGCAAAAATCATTAACAAGCAAACAATATATATATATATATATTTGTATATATACGTAGAACAAATAAGAAAGAAAACAGGTGGTGTTGGCGCTGAAGCTGTATATATTATAAATATCTATTTAATATGCATATGTGTTATATATATATACATATATATAGAAATATATAAGTATAATAAATAAGAAGTCGTGTTTACATTGAAGCTTTTTCAAGTTTTTCGGCGGTTCATTGCCTGTCTTTTGTTTTTTGCTGGGTTGCTCGGCCTCCTCTTCTTCGCTATCGCCTCCATCGCCCTCCTGAAGAAAGTTAAAAAGCAGAAAAAGCATTTTAAAACACATTTTAGAATGCAATAGAGGTTAATTCAGGCGTACAGATACAAACAATGGGAAGTAGAAATAAATAATTAAGGCTGAGGCTTTCCTCAGCTCTCAGAATTTCTCTTTTGCCGTTCTTTAGGGTTGTTGGTGCTTCAGCTACCGATCAGTGATAAACAACACTAATAAAAAATCAAAAAAGATGTTGTTTGCAGAAACAGAAGGAGGGAAACACAATGAAACAGCAGCAGCAGCAGCAGTAGTCGTAGCAGTAGCAGTAGCAGCAGCAGCAGACACTGCACAGATGTACGCCAGCTTAATTGATGAGCGCAGGGCAATGCATAAACAAAACAAGTGGAAAAAAACGTTGCTAAAAAAGAAGAATATAAGTCGGACAGAGTCGTCTTCATCTTCATTATCATTGAGCTCTTCAACAATTTTATCGATGATTTCATTGATCTCCTTTTTGTGCTCTTTAAGACTTTCCGCTTTTAACCCCATTTTCTCTTCGAGTTTTTCTCGCGCTGTCTTTCGGCTCATCTCTTTCCATGTTTCCGCCGTGATGAGTTCCCTGAATGAAGACGAATAATGCATTTATAATGCAAGTACAGTGAAACACGCAATAAACAGAGAAGGGTAAGTTAAGCAAAGAAGAATGACGATAATCCAACGGCAGCTGAGTTTTCAACACTGCATAAAGAAGAAGGAAAGAGGTGGCGAAAACGCTAGTTCCGGTGAAAGGAGAGGAAAAACAGAAAGAAAAGGAAGTCTGAATAAGCACAGGGGGAGGCTGTGAAGAGATGCGTCATACCGGAGGTGTTCCTCAGCCTTCACCGCATCTAAAGACGCTTGTTCTACCATTTTCTATTTTAAATGGAGAAAAACACCACAGAAAAACTGACGAAACACCCGCAAGCACTTGCCCTGATAAATCAGCAGAGGGAAGGAGCGAAGAAGAAAACGAAGGAAGGGCCCCACAGACAACCGCTGAATAACGAAATTTGTTGAAAAAAGAAAAAGCCAGGCTTTAATTTAATTCAATTGATAGAAATATGTTCCGAAATCACACAATCGGGTTCTGAACCGGGGCTGAAACCTCGGCCGATTCTGAGCTGTACGTACAGCCCGTAAGTAAACTAGCAACGATGAAATGGGTGTGGTAGATCACATTAATATTGTTGGTATATTTTCATGCTATTCCCGTTCAAATTTGAATATTTAAAAGGAATTTTCTTCACTGTCTACTCCCGCCTCCTTTTAATCTCTCTTTGTCGAGAGTGGCGCGTTCGCTGCAGGTTCGTTGGTAGAAGTTTTTATCTCATCAGGAGTATGTTTTTTGATTATTTCTTTAATTTACTTCAACTCAAATCTATTTTGGCTTATATTAACTCAATTTTTCTATCTAAAACGGATCTTCCACCTCCGCGACGCCCCTAAGTACATCAGCCTCGAGCTTCGATGGGAAGTCGACGGCCCCCCTTGAGGATTTGTCTGCGATTTTTAGGAGCAGAATCGGCTAAAAGTGGCGCATCTAAATATTCAAATGCCTCTTCTTTTGGCTTGTTAACAGCTGCGAACTCTCCCGCCCTTCCATGTGTTTGTACACCTGGACTGCTTCAACAGAGGCGCCCGACGTCTAGTTCTTCGTCATTTAATTCAACTCCTCATTGGTTGCAGGACCTGGGAAAATGCAGAGGCGAGGACGCACAGAGTGGGGGTATAAACCCAGAAAAGATAACAGCAGATGAAAGCTGTCTGAATGCTCCTCTTGTAGATAACAGAGGCCCCTCGGCTTCCCCTTTTAAGCCGGAAGAAACAAATAAAGATGATGCAGCAGAATCTGAACACGATCCAAAACATTCCAATGAGGTGCCTATACACTCCAGACATCACCCCATCATCAAACACTTCATCAAACTCAAAACCAGGAGGAAATACAGGCAAGAAAAAACAAATAATAATAATCATAAATAATAATAATAATACTACTAATAATAATAATAACAAAGGAAATACCGACAAGAAAAAACAAACAATAATAATAAAAAAATAGTGATGATGGGTAGCAACAACAACGACTATTATTATTTCTTGTGTTTTTCGTTTTTGTTATGAGCCATTCTCTTTATTGCCGGCATTATAATTAGAATATAATAAAACTATAGTGCAAAGGTATAAAGCAAAGCCCTCTTCTGCCCGCATCAATGCGTATTCATTTTGTTTGTTTTTAGTTTTTGTTTGGTGCTGCGTTTAGAGAGGCATGCAAACAAATGGTAGTAATCGGCGCTGAGACAATTGGTGCGATTTGCAATACACCTTTATTCAAGGAGAGCAAAGAAGAAAATACAAAAGACAGCAACAACGAAATAAATATAAACACAGACTCATCATTATCATTATCATCATCATCTTCTTCTTCGTCTTCCTCTTCTTCTTCTTCTTCTTCTTCTTCTTCTTCTTCTTCTTCTTCTTCTTCTTCTTCTTCT